TTGAAAGTGTAAAATCGATCTCATTTTTTTAGTTCATTTTATATAGAATATGACACGATTTTATATACTAATTGAAAGGTTAAAATAATATGGAAAATCGTGATTACTCTCTAATAACGTAGCTCTTTATAGATTACTTAAAAATTTGTCAATTAAATACATATTTGCAAAGATAGTGTACTATAGTATCTAATAAAAATTCTTTCAGGGAGTTAAGTTGAAAGTTATCAAAGCATATAACCAGTTAGATATGAATGATTTAAAAGGAAGGCTTTATACTTTTATATAGTACCTTATATATAAACGACTTACATGTCTTTAGTCTTGTTTTATATAAAGTTTCAGACTGTAAGGGCTAATGCAGTATTCCCCAAATTGATTCGCCTCGGGTGAGATGGTAGTAGTTTTGAAACTAAAAAGTCTATCCGTGTTCGAAATAAATCTCTCTCGAAAAGAAATTTCGCTCGAGAACATCTAAGTGAGCTTGTTTGGGATTTATAAATTGAAAACAGCATCTTTATTTGTGAATATCTTGAGTGATATATGTTATAGGTTGTGTCCTTTTATACATTATGTATGGGCTAAAAAAAATTATGCAACACTAGAAATCTGGTCTTAAAAATTGTATGTGTAAGGAGTGGATGTAACAATAAAAAATAAATTTAGAAAATAACGAAATATACCTACGACTTAACTTAAAATTATAAGTGTTATATTGCACTTCAGAATTAACAAACAGTATTCTATTACAATATCATTTGTAATTATAATATTAAATACAAATTTGTAAGGACTTAATAAATAAATGTATTCATAACAAAATATTTAATATCAATCCCAATTATGGTAAGAAAATAACGTCTTAATTATTAGTTTATTTTTACTTCTACTTCTATTACTTTTGATATTATCTTAAGATAAAGACATACATAGTTTTAGTTACCAACTATATTACATACAGCGGTTGTGATAAAAACAGTATTTAGGATGTGCCATGAATGGTAATGTTTTTATTAGTTTTTTATTACTTTATTTATAGCTCAATTGCTGTAGTTACCTTCAACCCGGGCAACAGGAAATCTCTTTTTACGTTTAATACAAAACTTGGCTCATAAAATATGTAACATTCAGGCCGCTTTCTGTACCCCCGGATAAATTAACCCAAGCAATGTTCTATTGGAATGTTTTCTTTAATTATTAATTTTTTTTATTTAATCACAATAAAATGTATTGAAAAGTAAGCATAATGCTGTAATTTAATTTCCTTCATTTATAGTTTCATACGGAATCAGAAATTAGTTATAAAAATGCTCTCTATGGGATGAATAAATTGCTAACTAAGAAAGTTTTAATAATTTTCTGTGTTAGACATAACGTTAAATAATTTAATTTTGTTAAAACTTATATCTACTTCCATGTGTATTATTTTTTTGTTTCTGATTTGTTCTCAGGACATTGTAGAAAAAGTGTGAATTAATTTTTATAATGGAATATTTAAATAAAATATTTACTCATTCTCCGCCATTAAACGTTAAAGATAGAAACAATTTCCAATGAAATAATAGTATCAAACAGAAAAGACACTGAGAAATTCTTAGATCGCTTTAAAGAAATAAAAGTGGAATCTGTTCATTCATTGAGAAATATTTTTTCTAGTTAGTTTTAATAAAACCGTATTGTACCGATAAAAATAAACCAAACCTATTTATATTATAACAAAAATTCATTAACAAAAACCAATATTTGCGCTTGAAATTTAATATTGCTACCCAATAACGTAAAGTAGAAAGTTATTTGTTTTCTTAACGGATATCCAATATGTAAAGTCACATTTCAAGCAACGGAAATAAATCGAAATAACTTAAAAAATTAACAACAAAATCATTTACCACAAAAACTTTTGACTTATTTGGTAGAGAAAAATAATGTTCAACCCAAAAGTAATAAATGAAAAGATGAATTGTAAATTTAGGACTGTTCATCATTGAAGATAATTACCTTCTTAAGCTCGTTTATGTAAGCGAGTCACAGAATCTTTTCCAGACAAATAATATCCTACCGTTTGGCATATAAAGTAAGCAGAATGTCTACGCTGCGGGCTTAAAGCTGCGTCAGTGGCGGTGAATGTCAAGACCTCTTAGCAAGTTTGTTATATTGTTGAGTGATATTTTTAGAGAGGCCTGAGGGTTCGGGTCAACACTCCGCTATACTCGTTCCTATATCAATGAAACGTGAAAGTAATTAAGTGTGGAGTGAAGTCTTTTTATTACATTGTCACATTTATTAAAAAACATTCGATTAGACTATACGACTATATGTACGCAGATGTTGTTCATATTTGTGTGAATGTGTAATATTGCTTCCATTGATAAATGTTATTAGTATTGTAAAGCATTGTTAAATTATATCGCTTATATAAAAATACTGAAATTGTCATATCAACGTGAATATTCTGTATTGAAAATTTTGGTAGAAAAAATAGTTGTATAACGTTTAACCGGGCACGTGGTAAACTATTTTCAATATCCTATTGATAGTGCACACTATCTTCAATCTTGATCGATTTCTACTGAGAAGCTCTCCCTAACGTGCGGTTAACAAGCAACTTGGCTGGATGTACTTACATGCATATAGCTAACCTTAGTCTAAAACTCTGTTTATTGAAATTATATGTTGATACCAAATGCCGTATCATATGAAAATAATCACGTGGGTTTGAGTTTTTTAATTAAAACTTTATGAATATAATTAGATTATGTATAGTAGAATTTAATAAATTTAGCTAATGTGTTTGTTTCAGGCCTCGGAACGGTTTGTTAGGCGCTCTTCAAAGACTCACTCGGCCTCTCCTGTGACTAGCCAGACTTCGATTACAAGGCACGGGCGGCGGATTGTAAGATTTTTATATTTTCATATACAATTTCAGACGAACAAATATTCTCAAACTATTAACAAATTAAAGATAGTGAAACTAATGATATTTCCCTATAAAAACACTATGCGTACATTCATGAACCTGTTTATTCTATGAAAGCAATTCCCGCAAGTGTATAAACAAAATTCGTATCACAGTTTCGGTATAGACACGTCGAATAGATTTCCTGAACTGTTCGAGTACAGCGTTACGTCGATTCCTGATTTTATTTTGTTATACACGAACACGTTCGAGCATCGTTGTGAAATCGGAAATTTAAAAATGTGTAAGATGCCATGACATGTACTGGAAAATATTCATTCTGTAACAGTAATTAATTTATTTTAATGAATTATTTGGATCGTTATATGAAATATCTGTTGTTTAAATGTATATTGTGTATTTATTTGTAAATTTGTAAGCAATTTAGTTTCCGTTGACTCAACAACTTCTGTTCCGAATCGCGTTATAAATGCTCTTGGCTAAGTATTATCTCGTTAGGGCTATTCATCTTGTTGGAAGTAGGTTAAGAAGATCCTGTAAGATATAAATCAATTAATTATCGTCGTTGCGAAGAACTTTGTCCTCTCTAATCTGTTTTGTGGTGGAATTGTTATTTTTCAACTAAAAATAACTATGACTTTTGTACGGTGCATTAGGGTTATGCATTTCATTATTTCATTTGGATTAAAAATGTTAAAAGTCAGACTGATATTGTAGAAACTAGTGTTTCCGACTAATTAAATAAATACGTAATAAATGTCTCATGTTAGTCCAGCTATATTTATTAGTTATATGTATGCGTACATAGTCAGAAATTTCAGGGAGACATATAGTTTCAGTGGCTTTTCTTTGTAATGATGTACATGTATGTATGTGTGTAAACATAATTCTGTTCCAGAGGCGTGGGGCGCGGCGCGTGGCGGCGGCGCGGGCGCGGGCGGCGTCATGACGCGGCGCCCGCCACCATGACGCTGCCGCCGCCGCCCGCGCGCCCCTCGCACTACCCCACCGCGAACCGCGCGATGCGCTATTACCGTATCTGGATCTACGCGTGCAACGGGGCACTGCTGCTTGGGGCGCTGGCCTTTTGCGCAGCAGCGGGCCGCGCACTCGCGGACTACCGCCGGGCTCTGGTGCCCGGTCTCGGCGCTGCGCAACCCGGCTTCCTTTACGGTTACGCGGCTTTACCGGCTCAGGCCGGTCTCTTGCAACTTTTGGGTTGCTTAGCTGCATTGCGTCTCTCTGAACGCATGCTGAACGCCTACTGGCTCGCCCTTCTTGCGCTTTTGGTCGGTGACGCCGCGATAGGTGTTTACTGGGCTTTCAGATTTGAGCGTGTTTGTCGCGAATTGAGGCCGCAGCTTCGAATACGTCTGGCGAGAGATTACGATCTTGACGTAGATTTTGCGGAAGCTTGGGATCGTCTCCAAAGAGAACAGCGTTGCTGTGGGGTGACAGGTCCATCTGATTTCACTGCATTTAATAGAACTACTTTGCCGCCCAGCTGCTGTCGAATACCAGCGCATCCGTTAGCCGTGACACCGACATCAATAGCTGCCATATCTGCTACCACAACCCTGCCATATACACCGGTTCACTGCGTCCCACATACAGCTGCTTGTGCTGAAAGATTATTATCCTGGCTTCGGAGAACGGCGGATGCGTTATTTGTTTTAGGATATTGTGTCATAGCATTTCTTAAGTTGTGCTTCCTTGGAATATTAAGGTACGAAATAAAAGAAATGATACAAAAAATTAGAATTTTACGAAGTGAGCTCGGTGCAGGAGAGCTACTTGATGGCAGTCCGATGCACGGTGGTCCTTTATCGCAAACTGTGGTAGTGAACGCTGTGAACGCTAACGGGGGCGTGCGCGCTCATGGCGGCAGTCCAGAGAGAGCAGGAGAGAGAGAGGCGCTCCTAGGTCGAGCTGCGGAACCCTGTTCAAGACGTAGCTTACACGACGAACCTCTAGGCCCAAAGACAGTAAACGGAAACAACAATTGCGAGATGCGCGAACTAGCTCGAGGTGAATACCGACCCCTGGCAGCAGATAACGCGGCAACCAGAATCTGACTAAGATGTTACTTGGAGCGGCTGTTCGGGCGGCGATGGAGGTCGTTCCCGGCAGACGGCTTCGAGGTAGAGCCCCCGCTGGCTCGTGGTGTGCCAGTGTGCATGCGGCGGACGGGAGCACGCGTGCGTCTCGACCATCGACGCCACACACGCTCCGAATTCGAACTCTAAGTAGTGACAACCACATTTATGACATAGTAAAGCAGCTGTCAATTTAATGCACGGATTTAGTGAGCCATAGTTTACGTTTGTGTGAGTAGTCGAACCCAAAACTATTTAGTGATTGAAAGTTTTGTGTTCTAACATTAGACGAAGTGAATTTCATGAACTATTGTTAAGTGGCAACGAGAAATTTAGATGAGATAAATCGATTCCACGAGCAAAGCTTGTGTTTAGTTCCTATGCTTGGCAGATTGAAGTTTCTTTGATTTTATAACATATTAAAGTTGTTTTTATGGTACTTTACATGAAAAAAGTAGATGAGTGATAGTGACAAATAGACTTGCAGCCACGGCAAGATGGTGAGTGCCTATGGAACGTTCCGTTAGACTCTGAAAGTATTCGACGGCGTATATTAAATCATCGGTACCAAGATATATAAATCATTAAAATATCGATTATATTATTTTTAGGCATAAGTCGAAAGCTTTTTATTGTGTACCAATAGCTTTAGAGTTCTGTATGTTATGTAAGATTCAGATAATATCTTTTAACAATTGACTTTTAATATTTATTAGATCAGTTTGGTGTTTCGAATCGATCATTCGTCGGTCTTTCAATCGATCTTGAGAAAATGTTATATCTTTATATTAAGAATATGTATGGCGTGATTCTATCATGAATCAATATAGGTTGAACGGACGAACGAAAGATCGGAAGAAAAAGATTTAATCTCATCATCTGTTATTTGATTGTAAATATTAGATTCTGTGTGTCTACATCTAGTATGCGTGATGTGCATGGACAGATTGACAAAATAGTACTGATATGAGCTTAAACGACGTAGTGCCTAAGAGTAAAAGCTTATAAACAGTAAAAATTTAATAATTGTTATACATTTCTTTTAAGTATCGTTCTGAGCTGAGTTATAAAACCATCAACCTTTTAATTTGTTCCATACTCAAATCGATTCATGGGAGCATTTACATATTAAATGGCTGTGTAAGTAGGTATAACCTATCCCTTATTATAAAGTAATGAAAATTTGAAACGCCCTCATGTTTTATATACGGTCTCTTCTTAGAGTCGACCTGATTGTAGAGGCGGGAATTAATTAAGTTACTTTTGTGTTTTTGGGGCATCGATATTTTTATATTTTGTTTTATTTTATGGTAATCGTATTCGCTATGCAGTGCTGTGAGATAGAGAGAAAGAGTTTAAATAGAGTGGCTAATACTTATACTCGGATAGAAAGAACTAGCATGACGTAGTTAATATGTTTAACGTTAAAAATTAGAATTTTTAAAAAGAACCAAAGTAAACAGTACGTAGATAAGTAATAATATTCAGTATCGGTGATCTAGACCTATGTGAATGTCCATGACTAGTTCTTTCAACTGAAGCCGTATGTTTCATCCATTTCAAAAATTACACATTTATCCTAATACCATGTAACTTTTTAGAGATATTATAATAAATAATAATATTACGTTCGCTTAGAGTAGGTATAATATTTTGTGAATTTATGCAGAAAAATAGTTTTTTTAATATTGTTGTCACTGAATGTACCAATCTTATTAAAAATTTGTACCTATATTCGGAAAGTTGAATAATTTGTAGCTAGGATTGAATCTAAATCCTGCATTTCTTCCAAATGTTAAAATTACATGTGCCTTGCCTTATAAATTTGTATAACAGACGTTTTGGATATAAAGGAATTAATTATTGTAGCCACGTTTCTTGGGTTTTTTAAACCCTGAAACTTCTCCGACGTGCTGCCTAAACCTTCCCCTAAATCTTATCAAAATCAGCTTTCATTTCCCCTTCCACGTTACTGTACCTACAATAATGTCTATGCTTTTTAAAGATGTTTATGATGTTATTAATAAAATGTTTATGGATCAAATAAATTGTAACCCGTTTGTCTTGTTTACTTAAGATCATTTCTACAGAATTGATAATTAAATATGATGAATTAATCCTAATATTTTTGTCTAAAATTATATTGATATTGAATTATATCGATGTCTATAAGGTACTTTTATTGCTGACTGCACTCCTATAATTTATGAATTCTCTAAAGTCAGTTTTAATTGTTAAGTAATGTGTGTTCTATGGGATATTAAAAGTAGTTATGGTACAACTTTCCGAAGGTACGCACTAGGCGACTGAGAGCTAATATTATCATTATAAATGCATTAAATAAAATCTTTGTTAAACTTTACGATTTTTATTTTCAAACATCCATCCGCCGTTAAACTTCAAGTTATCTACAAATATTAATTTTATTGAAACCCTATGTAATGAAACGTTTTAATGGATAAATGAACTTGCAGAAAAACTTCGACCTTCATATAATGAGTACGTTACTTTTTTCTGCTAAAGTTACCTATGATTTTTAGTATTATCAGAAATAAGGTTATTAATGAAAATAAATTTCAATTTATAAATCATGGTTATGTAATGAAATTAGGGAGACGAAATAATTAACGTGAATTTAATTTGGGAGTAATTTACCGAGACCTCTATAATTTGACTACTATATGTTAGTCACAGGATTATAATAATTTGCAATGTTCGCAATTTCTTGGGGCTAGAGAGAAGAAGAAATAGATTGGCCCAAAGTCTCCGTTATTATTTCGATTGAATTGCGTTCATCACGAAGGATAAATCCTTTTTTATGGTTTTATTGATTGGGAACAGAAAAGTTTTCTTAAAAATTAAATAGCATAATAATGATTTTTGTGAAACACAACGAGAGAGTTGTTAAAATAACCCAGAAACAAGATACAGTTTAATATATTTTCGGGCCTTAAGATGTTTTGTCACGAGTTTTTGTCATATTTTAACTAGTCTTCGTGCTAATGCTAGACAATAAGATATTCTTGTCGCATTTTCTAGTGAGAAAAAATATGTGAACTGTAATATCATTTTTTCATTATCTTGGTATTGTCGGACCTATCTTGGGATATTTATATCTTGTGCGTTTGGAGCAGGCTGAATCAAAATTTTTTATTATGACTGAAAGGGTTGTATTGACGATAATTTCAGTTAGAGGGAAAACTTTAGAAATTTGTGGTGAATTAAAATAATAATTTAATCAAAAAAGCTGAACGTATCGAAACATTGAAGCACTATATAAAACAGTATTTGTTTAAATTGTGTTTATAATTTAAAACCGATTATTGTTAAAAGAAAAATGTTATCACAAAAAAAGGTTATTAGAGTAGGTATACTAAAAACATTGTGAGATATTTTTATACGTATCGTCATATAAACCACAAAGCATTTGAAAACCATTTGAAAAACCATAATAATAGACAAGAAACGACGTGTTAGTATTGAAATACTTCAAAACTAATTGCCACACAAGTCTCGACGTTACTAGTAATGATAGCTTTTGTGTTGAAATGGGTATTATTATCTATGAATCGAAGGTAAGTTAGGTTTAGTGGTGTTATAATATAATTATGTGAATCAATTACTATCATACCTCGATCAACGTTTAAATTTTCAAATGCTATTTGTAACGATTAAGACTTTATTTAAATAATAAACACATAGAGGACTAAATATGTTATATGAAAGGGAAAATTGGATTTGGTTATATGAAGTCACTGTTTGTGATTATGTTTTATTCTTTCTATTACTGGTCAATTACTTAAAGTGTTGCAATGACAATTGACATGAACAAAATTTGTACGTAACTCAAAATATGAAACCTTTATTATTTTAAAGTTAAAATAGAAATATTTTAATGTATTTACAGCTGTATAATGAATATTTTTTACCAAAATAAATAATATATAGTTATATTATCGGTTCTTAATCTCGTTAGAGACACAGTAAAGCATAAAAGTTAATCAAAAGCTGTGGCTCACAGCCCATATTTACAGAGCACTAACTCTACAAAGGTCCCAATCAAGTTTGCTTCGTAACGATTAAATAGTGCTATTAAAGCAATACTAAATGAAACGTATACCTGGATATAGTCGATAGCGGGAATAACTTTTTTAAACAGCAATAGAACGCAACATACAAATGGGAAAAGTTTAAGCAATCTGAAAGTTAAATTGAAAAATTGATTACATTCGTTAACTGTGAGCTTGTTGAATCTAATCGACATAAATACAAATTGAATGTACATAAATATATATAAGCTGTAGAAATAACATGATATTTCATATAATGTTTATTAATAATTACAGTAATGAGGACCCATTCCTCATTATTTTAATAGGAGAAAACAAATTGTATGAAGATAATATAAGTACAATTGAGTGGATATTTTCTTTATGAAGCTCGTCTTTTTACGAGTTTATAGAGTTTAAAATATAATTTCTGAATAATATTTATTGAAAGGTAAAAATCGTAGGTAATTCTTTGCTTATGGAAATATTGATATTTTAAAAATAAATGATCATTAACTTTTATAGCATACATTTATTTAAAATACTATTTCTGTTTTATTAGAATATCCGATAATAATCAGGAACTGCATTGCAAAATGAAGCGAAATTTTATTCTCAAGTAAGAAATATTTATTTAATAATCTCGAAATCTTTTGCGAGTATTCATTTAAATAAAACTGATATATTCTGATGTACTATCACGTTTTTTATTTTTTATTATTTTAAACTACATACATACTCCCGAAATGACTTTTTCATCATGAGGAAATGACGTTGTCAAAAAATTGAAATGACATTTTCATCTCGTCTGCCCGTGATCACGGTTGCTGCAAAGTAACCGACTCGCGTCGGGAGTATGAAGTTAAAAATAATAAAAAATCGCGCAGTAAATATGAAAATATTAGTTTTATTTAGAAATGTTCATTGTTCCACTATCATGAACATTACAAATTACAATTTAATATATGTACAAGAAAGTGACTTTAGAGTTTAGTTGGACTTCATTTCATTTTATTATTGGGAAATTATAAAATTATTGGGAAACAAAGTAATTAATAAAAAAACATATGTTGTTCAGTTTTTAATGGACAATAACTCGAATAAAATAAAATTAAGTATTTGATTATAGATTTTAAGATACAATTATAAGTGTTAATCGTAACTCACCCGCACGTTTTCTTCAATGATTCTGAACATTCTGTCCACATTCGACCCGCCCACGACCAGCACGTTTCCATTGTCCACGTTCGAGTTTCCACCCGTCTCGGCGCACGTGTGGTATTGTCTTTTGGTATCCGTCTTACATTTCCTAGTCTTTGTGTTTCCGATATTAAAATCGTTATCAAAATCGTCAGCATTCCTAAGCCTCTGAAATTGAACAGCTATATCGGCACCGATTCTTGCGTTGTTTTTTATGAGAGCGATATCTGATGGAATTTAAGGAAAATATCAGATAATAATTAATATCATTGATTCAGTTGCACTTTTTACTTTCAAGATGATTATTGGATAGTTTAAGTTTGATGGTATTTTGACAGGATTATGAACCATGCCATCAAGAGTATATAAATTGTCAGCGATGGGCATTTTATGAGTTAGTCATGTGTTTCGATTTAATTGAATCGTTATTCTAAAAATATATAGATACATATACATTGGTGAGAATATTTCTTGTATAATAGATAAAGTAACAGCATTTAAAATCTTGCGTTACTTCGATTTGCATCAGAAGTGACATTTTAAGCAACACAGTCTTTTATTTCGATAAACGTCTTTAAGAAAGTAACGAAGATTATGTCACAAAGTCCTTCCAATAAGTGGCATTCCGTAGTTGCTCCGAACCGAAATTAAAGTGTACTTCACATAAAGGATACTGGCAGCAAGTGACTCCCCGCCCGTCGCCTTAGACACTGCAGCCAAGAGGAATGGGGTCACTTCTTTACCCTGGATACCGAGCTTGTTAGCGTCAAGTAACGCACTTTTAATAGCTGCCTCGATCATGTTCTCTGGAAATTATTACTTCAGTAATAACCTTTTCATAAAATGTAATATATGTTGTAAAATTTACATAATTATAGGTGTTATTGCGTTTTTAACATTAGAGGCAAGTTAAGTTTTTAGTTAAATTTAAATTAGTAAATATAGAAAATAAACTTCATTATCACTAAAAGGACTAGAACCGACAAACGTCGCAGTATGACTTTTCGGTAAAGAATTATGGTGATGTATAGCAGGAAGCAAGTGCCAATCGTGATCGTGTCTATGAAATATTCTACTATTTCTAAATTAAGTACAAATATATATAATGTTACACAGATATAAGGTATCATAATTAATTATTTTTTTATATGAATAATCAATATTTTAAGAACAATTTTTATTAAGAGTTGTTATTGAACAAGCTCACTATTGCAGCGACATTAAATATTTAATTATAATATAATCATTACATCTAAATAATTTAAATATAAGAACAAAATCCATTTTTTATAAATATGAACAATGTGCTTAACAGTCGGGAATAATGTTTAATTGATAAATTGTTTTCATTAAAAATATACCAAAAATACTTTATGTATGTCTGCCTTATGTTATCAGAATGGTTATATATGATTTATATTTTCATAACTATAATAATTATGTGACAAAACCACACTGTATTTACTAAAAATAGGACTAAGCTTCTCATTCCAAGTATTCGTCTACAAGAGGTGAATATATCATTTATAAGTCTGAATATATCATGTATATTTCATAAAATACCCCGAGACGTTCTACGAGTAGATCTGAAAAAAGTACGGTTCTTAACTGCTTATAGATAAAAATGTATGAAATTCATTGGACAGTTTTATGTATGAGCGAAGCAGCTTTAATATCATATGCGGGTCTAGAATGTATTTAAAGAACAATGTTACAGTTATTTGTCTTGTCACCAAAACTGTAATATAAGTTCTGACTTGCTGAGTAGTACTAATGAAGAAACAGATTTTCATTACGTGTTTGCAAGTGCCTTTTTTAAATAGAGTTTTTAATTATTGTATTATTAATTTATTTAAAGTCATAATTTAATGAAATCACATCATTTTATTAATGTATTTAAGAAAGTGATATGTTTTTATTTCATTTAAAGAATAACAGCTATGGAAGAAAAATATAATAAATTTACTGAAAAAATATCGTTTGAACTTAATAAGATTCTTTTTAGACGTTTTATATAAATCGTGAATTTTAATTTTAATTGTGACTTTTTTAAAATAATAATAGTATTGTAGTACGTATAATAATGTTCGATACAGAGCATCTAAAAATTATTATTATTTTGTACCTTGCTGAAAGACAGTATTTTACCTGACAGACATTAAATATTATAATCCAGACATATGAAAATTTTATTTACATATATGTATATAGATTATTAAGTTATCGTATTCCAAAAATATAAAAGTAGAATTTTATATGATATTACCTTTCAACGAACCCCTTTTTATTGGAAGTGGCAGCCTTGTATAAGGTGTAATGCAAAAGAGCAAAATATATGCAAACTACAGACTGCTCCGGAGCAATAACATATGCAAATTACAAGACCCATGTATTTTTATTTGCATATCTTTTGCATTAGTTTGGATTTTATAAGGGATTTTTTTACTTTTTATTAATCATCCCCAACTGTTACTTCATGCTGGTATTATAATAATATTATATTTTTATTGAAATGTTAATGTTATGTAGTGAAAAACTCAACTCACCGTCCATTGCATGCTCGATAGGTACTGGAACAGCGATTACAATACCAGAGGATAGTTGTAATTTGTGTGACGAATATAAAACCCTTGCAGCTTGTGTGGCGTCGCTAACGTGGTACGGGGCTTTGAAGCCTGACTTGATCGTGTAGAACGCAGGGAAGTCTTGACTATCACCAAATGAACAAACAGTTACACCTTGAGTTTCCTGTTAAATAAATATATTGTTATAATTTCAAATTTCACTTTATCACCAAACTTGTATTAAAACTATGATTATCGAATTACTTAATCGTATTTTCTTTTTTTTTATATAAAATTCAAACTTTAACCCGTACCTCTGCAGATTTAGTTATAGTTTACTTAAAAGTTACTCCATTTTAAACCTTTGTAAACCGTATTACCCTACATTGGCCTTCTCCTCCTCCAATAATAAAATACGCATAGTATAATTCAAAAAATATTAGTTTCATTTAGTGAGAAGTTTATTTTTTACTTCAGTTGGATCTTCTATAATTGATGTGGATAAAAATAAGGCTATCAAGAACAAAGCGAGATGAGTAGCACTGTAGATAAACCAAACAGTACCGTGTGAAATTTGCTGGGTTGTTCGAGAGCTTTAAAACAATAAAGCACCGGAAAATCGTAAAACCACATCAAAGTTGCTTAAAGCTTTCAGTAAGCTCATTGTTGTAACGTTAAAAAAACTTGCTTTCGTCATTAATAATAAAATAGACTCGTCGAGAAGAATTAGTCTAAAGATGCTGTTCTGGGTTGCTCATTCTGCGAAGAAGCCTTTTTGAAAAGAAATCTATTGAAGTTAATTTCCATAAAACTATTGCTGAATGTTTCGGAATTATTTTATTATTAAACTCCTCTATTATTCAATGAAAAACTTATTAAAATCGAAGTAGTTTATAGAAAATGACATACACAGAAATAGATGTTAATAAAAATAAATTAAATAATTGTTTAAGTTTTTATACATACATGTAACCTTTGTGAAATTGATTGAGACGGTCATTAAATATGGCATACAAAATAAAACTATTATGAATACAGTACATATATTTCTTCAAGTATATTATCCATTTAAAATCATATAGCGTTATGAAATAAAGGAACATTATTTTCAACTTCTCCCTGGCACTTTACCAATAGTTCCAAGAATACCACGTGAATTCTTTGACAACCCAACCTACATCATGAGGTTAGCAACCTTTGTGTGTTTGTTTGCCAAGTGACCCAGTATCTGATGTAAATATTAATCACCTACTGATAACACATCAAGATGAATTGATAACATTTATCATGGCTATGTATAGAATAAGTGTGGGATTATATATGGTTTTGTTGTTAATCGTCAAGGAAGAAGTTTTTTGATGTTATCTTTAATACATATTTATTAAATTATTTAATATAAACAAAACATAGTTTGAAAGGAGCAAAACTATTTGAACAATTCATATTTACGTAAATTTAAATCCCACAATATTGTTCGAAATAGCTAATTACTGTGTACTTAGTGTTGTAATTGACGTTTAATATCTATTTTCGAAACATCAACAACTGTTTCTAAAATCGCCAGCAGGAAAATTTCAAATATGCAGCAGCTAGTGAATAAATTCCTACGTTCGCAATCATTAACTAAACAGTCATATGTCGTTCAATTCAATCATGCGACGACAACGCAGTATGGCGTGGAAATCCCAGTTAGGGGCGCATGCAATCAAATTTTCGTTTACCTTGGTTGGAAGGATTGCCATTTTTTATTCTGAGATGCTTGTGGTAACTTCGATTTAATTTTAAATACTACAAAAATAGAATCTGTGGTAGTACAATACTAATAATATAAGATAATTTGAATATATGTAATTGTACAAGTTTTGGGCGGATATATTTTTTACCATTGGTTTTCGGTGTTACACATATGAAGTCACCTGAACATAATAAGAGTTACGTGTTAATAGTTTGGCTTTTAATCATAATTTAGAATTAAATAATACTAAAAATAATTACAAAATCTTTCATATGTAAAGACAATGTGTCCACGTTTACACGTGGATTATAAAAATAAAATGGCTTTGTTGTAAAAAAAGATAACTAGTATAGATAAAAACATACAAAGTTGTTTGAAAACGACTGTTTGTTATTGATTAGAAAAGATTATTTTTAATATACCAGATACTCAAGGGTGCGGCCGATGTCAAGGATGGATTTGACACCACTGCACACGACCAAGGTTCGCCTCCGACCCAGCTCGGTGAGGTCGGCTGACACATCCATCGTATTATGACCTTCACGATGAACCCCGCCTGGAAAAAAACTATTCCTTAATATAATTAACACTAATAATAAGAAAAAATATCTAAAATTGTCATATTAAAATAGTTGTCTTCGAGAAATAAATGGTCTAATTTATATGACGGCGTTTATTAGTTGAAAATGTAAATTAAAGCGTTTTGTTTGTGTAATGATAAATCACTTTATATTTTACGTAATACAATAATTTGATTTTCTCTGTTATATATTAAATAAAATAATAATAGAAGGAAATGATGAATCATAAATTCATCGTAAGTGATTTACAATATCATGAATATCAATTTTAAACATTGGAAACGCAGATCTAGCTGTACGAAGATGTTGAATGTTGAAACCCTTTTTGTTGAATCGTAATATAACAAGAGGCAATTAGAGTCAGACAGAGGTATTCAAATTGATTGAAGCAATTATGGAAACCGCTTAATTGTTAACTATGGCTGGAACATATACTACGAGTATTTTATTATCTTCGATTTATATCATATCTTCTATATATATTATTTAGTAATAGTTAGTTAAAATAACGTTTATAACTATAGTGGTTTATGAGAACTGTAATTTGTAACTGGCCACCCAAAAACACATTTATAGAGTCGTTTAAATTCAAATTATATACAACCTCTACAAATTCCGTCCCAAATAATCTAAACGCTGACAATTCAGGAAAACGTTAAACGAATTGATCTTAGATTTATGCCGCCGGATTGGGATTCTGTTTGCAATTCGGTCGCAAAATTTTGCGTCCATAGCAATTCTTGGGAATTTGTTATTAATTTCGCCGTTCTAATTGAATTTTATACTTGCGGCCAAATTCATTTATACATGTAAAGTATTCTCTGATGTTTCAATTATAAAATACTAACCGGGCTCTGCTATAATATCCATCTGAAAACATGGTTCATATTTTTTAATAACAATTTTCTATTATTATACTTCTATGAGATGGACGGATAATCTGTTTAAAAGCCGAGGATTTAGCCTTGAAAAACGACAACAAAAAAAATATGTTCTGCACCTGTTAATTTAACACAATGTTTTGATAATTTCCTTTCTTTTATGGCGTCATCACTACAATAACATGCGTCTCATGATATATAAAATAATTATTTGTTTTTTTTATAAGAAGACAAATCACTAAAAAGCCACAATCTATTTTGATTCTAAGCTTTTTCATTTCCCCATTTTGTTTCCAAAAACTATTGCTAAATACTCTCAATGTACAAACACAAATGCTTCTATTGTTTTTTTTATGTACAGAGTTTGATAATTTTCCTCAAATTATTCTTTTGATATCTTTCAATATTTAAAATGTGATTTAAATATGATTTATTGTTCAAATACATTCTTAAGTGAGTAGAATTAAATCATTAATACTTAAGATAACAATTTATTTACTCGTATTTATGTGGTAAGTAATTTTATTTATAGATATTTAGTGTTTACTGTTATTTGGTACATAATGAATATGCTTCCGTGTATCCAAGTTTACGATATTCAGGCTTCGTAGTGTATAAGTGTGATGAACTTTTGTATTTACGTCTATTTGTCCGCTAAGGGAAAACATCGTCAGCTAAATTTACGACACCCATCCATTTTTTACTATCTGCCAAATTGTGCAGTGGCAGAGAATACTTTTATCTCGTGTTTCTTTGTTTACTATTTATCTTTAAGCTACATAGTTATTATCTTTAAATCTTTTAACAGTTACTTTTTAAATAGAAAACTTTAAAGAATAAATGGTTGTTAAAAATAACTTTGTAAAGAAATAACAAAATAGAAAAATGAAGAACAGATACTGTTTATGAAATCTATTGAAATAGATATATAATTTATATTTATAATCACTCAAAAGCAAAACCTATTATAACTTGAGAGTCAATGACCCAAATGTTAATAACTCAGTATTGTTGTTGAGTAAATTAAATTTTAATTTTATCTCTCATTCGCGAAGCTCAAGTTTTAATTGAGTGAGAGGTAATTTTCGGAGATTTTACTCAAAATTAACTTCACGTTACATACACATGTAGATTATGTTGCGAATTGGTCTTGACGTTTGCAAATTAAAAAAAGGGTCAGTTGTTTATATATTGTTTTGTTTATAAGGTAGATTTTTCTGTATATTACCTATTCCTCCGGTAACGAAGACTGGTATGCCAGCTAGCTCAGAAGCGATGATAGTGCCTGCGACGGTCGTAGCACCATCCAATTTGTTCGCCATAACAGGTGCCATATCTCGCCTTGATGCTTTGACCACTCCTTTGGCCTTCGCAAGATACTCCAACTCGGTCTTTGAAAGGCCGACAGTCAGTTGCCCTTTAAGAATTGCAATGGTTGCTGGGATTGCACCCTAAAAATTAAGCCACATTATTTTGGATAAGAAAACGTTACATACTAAAGTCATTTATACTATTTGTAGCGAGAAAGACGGGAACTTCCATATCATATAACTTCTAGATTGATAGGTTAAAATGGAAAGGACAATATTATTATAAAATAAGCTGTAAATAAATAGATTTGTGCTCTAAATGTGCACTAAAGTGAACAAACAATATGAGGGGGAAGTGTACCGTGACATCGAGCTGTGGATTAGCAAGACGAAAGCCGCTTTTACTCAATTAAGACCGGCTCACATGCTGTCTAATAGGACGGTGAGTTAGCACGGTTTGTTACATGCATTTCAAAGAGATAACGTGACGTATGTACGTTTAAATTCTGCAATTACATTACGTCTGAGCTTGGAAATACATTTTTTCTTTAATAATCAAGTTTTGATTTCATGTCATGCCTATTATGTTAACATTAACATTATGTAGTTTTTTCTTACGCATTTTGAGTGATCGTTCAAAAGTAATACAAAGATTTCAAACTTACTTTTTCTCGTATAACTTCTTCCACCTGTAAAGCAGTTTCCAAGTTTTTCGGATACGGCATCCCGTGTGTTATAATTGTTGATTCAAGCGCCACTATCGGTTTTTTATCAGCTTTCGCTTGACATACTTCCTCCGAGTACACGAGGCTGGCAAAATGTCTGCTTGTAAATCGGCACAGCGGTGTACTCCACGCTCTTGACAAATACGCCATTTTGATACTCGTTAGGATACTGAGAAAGTAGCTTATCTTTAAAATTTGTCTAGAAAATGTCTTCCGAGAAAACATAATGCTTATAGCATCTTACATTAATCTCTCTTCCTAACAATTTTTTATTTTTTTATTAAGTTTTCAAGTGTAACAGATTTATTTTTGCCATAAGCGTCACAAGAATGAAAGGCTCACATGATGGAGTGTTGTAGACTTTTAATGATGTGGATGTTTATGAAGAAACAAGCAATAAACTTATCCATGGTATATTTTGAAATAACTGAATTGTATAAGCTAAATATTTACATTTTATTACACTTGACGATTGAAAAAAAAATGATTTTTATAAAGCAGTACTTAAAATGCCTTTTGTAAATAGATTTTCTCGGTGGGTATTTAAAAGCGTTTGCTCTTGTCTTTAGATAATGTTTCAGTGTTCACAAAGGTATACTCGGCTGAAAATTTTTAAAACATTTTGCTGTCGGAGCGAAATATTATACGAAAACCTTTATTTTAATAGCGTTAAAGTTGCAAATCGTCTGCACTGTTTATCGAAATCTTCATCCTGTCAACGTTTATTTGTTTGCATGTACAAATATTTAAAGAAAATGTAAACATTTTTCGAGATTTGACTTTAAAAGAGTATTGATTAACAAAAAATGAGTACCAGAGAGTTATATTTCATAAATCGCAATTTCCATTCACTAGAACATTAACTGTATTTAATATTGAGATCTAAAACATGTATGATCTTTTATAATATGGGTTTATTGACATAACAGTAGATTGTTTTTCTCATTTAAACTAATTTAAATCAAATTTTTAAAGTAACAACGTGATACAAACTTGATTAAGATAAGAATAAAAGTAGTTGTATATAATTGAACGCAATTAAATTGCAAATCTTTTTGCAGTTAACTAAAACGAATTAATTATTGTAGGTACATAATTTTTTAATCTCATAATTAACACACTGTTCTTCGAAAGATTGGTTCCATTATTCTGATTATTACCTGGTTAGCAATAAACGTCTACTCACATTTTACTGGTGAATTTAATCTAACTTAAGTTATTTCGGTAACGCCTTAACGGACTGTGGCAAGAAGGCAATTGCTTCGTGGAAACCAAATAATAGTTGAGGCAAATATTGCATGGCTTTGGAATAGAAAATTAAATTCTTTTATGATAAAATTAACATCATAAAGAAATTCAGCTATAAATATGTGAATTATTAAAGCAATTTTATATTCAAAGTCTTCCTTAAGCCACGCTGCAGTCTTCTGAAATTTCAATTTCGTTGAATTTAATAACCCCTTCAAATTCATTAAAGGTTCTGTCTACTCAAAGTTCAAACAGAACGACGTAAATTAATTTATGAATGTATTAGGCTTTCCTAAACCTCGTATCAAATATTAAAAACTCTATGGAGCTATGTATGAATATGTTCAAAATGCTTTATTTAAAAAATATTTGGATAGCTTCCAGTATAATTATCATTTTGTATAAAATGTGAGTCATTTGTGCAAAGTCTGGGTTGGAAATGAATGGCTCAATCTAGACTGAGATATAATTAAAAGTTTATATTTGAACATCATTTCTATTTTGAAAAACTGCTGAGTGTGGACTATTTTTAACATTTTTAATACACTACTTTGTTAATTCAATGGAGATCACTTTAATAATTATCATTTGCATGTCTCTTTTCTCGTATTATGAATATGTATTGTGTAAATCTATCTATCTAATACGCAGTATGTTACTAGTTTATTTCGAAATAAAGCTATAAATTTTCATTTCTGCATTATTCTAATACGTAATCTAAAAAACTAGAATATTTTGGATGTAATCTTCATATACACTTCTTGAAAAACGAATTTGTAGCATTACATATTAACATATTTAATATTATAATTGGTTTTTTAAATACATATATAAACGAAAAAGGTTCACGTATTTCGTTTAATCAATAATGCAACATTCAACCCTAGTGACCTGTGTCGAAACGCCTTACAGTTTCTTAGCAACCAAATTGTTTAATGTCTCACCGAAAAATATTGTCATTTAGCTTTTAACTCGAGGCTTTCGATTTTTTTTTCTAATACATTATTTTAAATACGTTTATAGGAACATTTTGGTAAGTATTTTTTTTTTAATGTTTGAAATATTTTCGATGTGTTTGTATTTTAGTTATAGAGAAAACATTTACTTGATTATTTCAATGGTTATTTGGTATATTATATAAAAAAAAATTATGTTCAATCTTTATGTATTAGTTATCCATATATATTATTTTATATTATATTTTTAATGCTGAATCTATACTTAATCTTTAATAAAGATTTAATGATTTTATGTATAAAAAGATATTGTAATATTTTTGTGTGATTGAAGTACGCTCAGTCAAAGCCCGAAAAGTACTCAATGTTATTTACGCCTTCCACCGTTGAGAAATTCGATATGGACGTCATTTTAAAAAAAACTTTAAAGTAAGGAAAATGTACATTTTTATAAAAAAAAAAACAATATACTGATGACACAGAAATCAAAACAAACAACGACATCGTCGCATAAAAAGCGAAAAGTTTATTCAGTCGGCAAAAACATAACTTTTTAAATGGATACAGATGGATTCACGAACAGACAGCTTATTCTTTATTAGCTTAAGAATCTTTTTAATTGAGTCTGTAAAGAAACTTTTCAATACAGTCACCTTTCTGTTGAAGATGCAGTTTCAAATCAAAAGAAAAGAAAATAAAATTATTTTATTTTACTGTAATGAACTCTACAAGTTGTTTTATAAAAGCTTTATTTAAGTGTACTTTACTTCTGAATGCGTTAAAGCATTACTTATGTACATAAAAATATGATAATACTGACTGGGCTAATTAACTATAATTCGTGTTTAAGTTAATTTGTGGCTTTCTTAAAATGTAATTATAATGTTTTCTTTTTCGTCTCAATTCTATTAATAACCTCCATGCATTGTTTATAAGATTTATTGCAGATATCTCTTTAAGTGGCCACAATGGCGTGGGGTCTGCCAAAGCTACCGGGCCTTACGTTTTCGGATCCAACCAAGACGCAATACCACATTCGTAGTTCCCTCCGATATTACCAAGGGCATAGATTTCCTGATACTTTGATTCGAGGTCCCGGGGGAACAGCTACTGATGTAGATAGCAACGCTTTCGCTCTACCTGATGATTCTGTCACGTAAGTGGATTAAGTATTAATACAAAACATTATCCATCAAGATACTAATTAATCCTAATTTGTGACGTACAAGAAATTGTTTAAATTTACACGTAATTTTCGGTTCAATTATTCAACTCAATGATACTATCGTAAACAGGAAATGTGAAAATTAAAAGAAGAAATTAGAAGCAATAAATCATATGAAGTATTATATCTTTTTACGAAATTTAAATAAGATGAAAAAATATAGTTCTTTAGAATTGGTACTTGATTGGCTGCAATAGGATTATAAGCATAAATAAACAAATATCAACAATTATGATATAAATTTCAGCTACGATCCATCCTTAACGTATGGGCGAGTGAAGCAAGCAGCGTTACCAACAGTCATCCCACACTGGGTACACTATGACAAGCGATGTCTTAAGTTCACGGCGTTCTTCAAACAACCAGTATTTGAAAACCCTGATGAGAACTACCGCGTTCGTGTCGTCAATATAGTATACTTCCTAGAAGACGACACCATAACCGTTATAGAACCGAGAGTGAAGGTAATTTAATACGAATTATTTCAAACTTAAATATCGTCGAACGAAAAAAGATATATCAGAGATAAAGTTGAACTGGTAATGAGTTTTTATTTCAGTGTTCGCTCCATCGCCCAAAAACTTCATTAAAATATATCCCTTAAATAAATTTGGTGACATATATGTATAAAGCGATTTTGTTCTGTTGATACAAGTTTAGTAAATAAAATTTTAATAAACACAAAAATAATAAGAATAAGTGTATAGGTTTTTTTTAATTCTGAAGTTAAATATTATAGTTTAAAAGTCAACAGCTCTCATAAATTCAATTATCACGATTGTAAAAGCTGGGTAAACTCTTCAGTGAAAATCATTTTTCGTTTTTAACTTTATATAAGGTTCTTGACTTAATGCGTAATAGTCGAAACTCCTAACCCTTTATCTGGTAAATCTTTTAAAAGGTAGCCATGGAAATTTCAAATAGAGAGAGGTACAATTTTATGAAAATAAGACAGTAAATTATTGAGAACAAGCTTATTGAAGCATTCTGAAAATATACGTATTATAAGTGGTCAATATTCGATATTGTTGCATATAATTGGTTAAAATAATAGTACGTTTCACAGCCTTTATAATTAATGTCATAATAATATACGTGAAATAAAACAATATTCGCTCCTCCTATCCATTGCAATTAAAATGCAAAGTATTTCGATATACAGACAATAAATACATTTAAAACAAAATAATGAAAAGCAAATGAAATGAAAATGTCCATGCAATATGATATCGCCAATGAAATCGTGTTTCGTTTTAATATAAATTGTCATTTTAAAAGCACTATAGGATGTACAATTTCTTCCTTATTGGACACATGTGTTATTTATTTGCTAAGAATAAATAGTAGCTTTATATCTTCCTCAGAATTCTAATACTGTTAGAGCCTAATATTTAAACGGTACTATTGTATAGAGCTTTTCATATGACTGTGTGTTTTTAATAAACTTCTAGTTTGACCAGCTTCTAATGTTTGTAAATTTGTGAACTACCAGCCCATAGAAAAAAATTGCCTGTGAAATGAACCAACGTGAATAATACTTGAAAGGCCGCTACTATATCATAAAATAACTCTAACGTTATAACGTCTTTTTTTAGTGGTACAGGTGGGTACCTGAGTAATTGTTATTTTTCCAGTACAAGGGAGGAATTACCACTAATTATTATTAAAGTACTTTTTTACAGCTTATAGGTTATTTAACATAAATGTCGAACAATCTAATGCCGCACTAAAGTGGCAGTACAGGAACTTAGTGCAAAATTTTAATGCGATGATAATTGTAGAAGCAATATAGGTAATTTATTACCGTACGGCATTAAAGATACTTTATCCACGAACACCGTCCATATTTTGAAGGCAGGGCTCGAAAGAATTTATCTCTGATTAGCATATAGGCGATGATGTTATCTAATAACATAAAATTAAATGATCTTCACAGTACTTCAAGAGTAGATAATATTTTCCTACATGCGGGACATTTTTTGTGGGATACATAGGTGTATGGAGTAAATTACTTCCCTCCGAAAAGAGTAAATTTCCGGTGACTTTTTTTCTGTACAGCAATAACATAGGTTTTTAATTTAACTCTAGAAAAATCTACATAAAATATAAATAACATGCACTTTTGATAGTCCGCTAGTCTGTGAAATGATAGATTATTCCAACGCGCAAACCGCTATCTGTAACGTGGCAGAATACTTCCCCCTTTTAGTTCTTTTTTAATATTCATCTCTTACCTCTGATTTTTATTGTATGGACAGTAATAATGTGATTTGCAAAATAATTTCTTATTAAAAAAACATTGTTAATTAAAAATAAAAATAAATATAATATTTTGTATTTATTCGATATTTTTATGATATAGTAAAAGCTTTCTAAATATCATTCGCGTTGGTTCATTTCACATGTAATTTTTTCCATGGGCTTGTGGTCTATTAATAAGCTGTGTAGAAAATTACAAGAGGAATAGTTTTTAATTTTCGTCATTGCTATACGTTTAATGCGAAGAATTGAATTTCATTGCGCAAATATACAACTTTATAGCTCTATATTACACAATTTGATTTTGTGAAATGGCGTCAAATAGCAATTCCTGTCTGACAAAAAAGTGTTAGGTTTATGCAATTTCATTTCACTTGATTTTATGTAAATATGTATGTACGTAATATGTTGACGATAAATGTTGCCACGGAATTTTTAAGCAACTATTGTCATCCAATTGATCTAAAATTTCCAAAAATATTTAGCTTGAATAACAGCATGTAATAATAATCATATTCATTAGTCATTACATTACTTTATCTATTGAATATGGCAAAGCCCATGATGATGGCTCAGATATTTTCTGCCTTTGCTACCTGTTTGAGAATTACAATTAAAGCATTCTATGAGAAAATTACAAACAATAATTTAATAATTATTGCGATATAATAAACTAAAAATGTAATAAAAAAGGCTATTGTCATACTAACATTATAAATATTTATGGATGCAATTCTTGTTTTACATTTATTTTTACAAAAATATAAAAAAAATTAACCTAAGTAAAACAGTTTAATTTGAAGTTCAGCACTTTAAAATAAATTAATTGAGAAGAAGCGTAAAATATGGAAAAATATAAAAACAATCTCTGAGTACTGTAACATAATTTTCATTAAAGTCGCCATCAATACTTCATCTTCATCGAAGTTGAATATTTTAATGAGATCGTGTAATGTTTACTTTTAAACGGTTACAATTTACATACATATAAATATATTTTCTAAAAACTAATTTGGAGAATGGAAACATAAATTTAAAAGAAAGACGCAACATAAGGAAAACAGCCCAATGCGGACTAACATATTACAGCTCGACCCTATTATTAATGCAAAACAATTTTCTTTTGAACTCTTACGAAATTACAGATAATATATTGCACCTTATTGGCTGTGACAAGCAACGGCATAATCTTACGTCAAATATTTACTCCACATAGGATATATTTTGTAGAAGAGTAGCATAAGATTCAATTTGTTTTGTTATAGTCTTGGGTTTATGGCGTCTAGTGGCGACTTTATAAATGTTGAATTTTATAAAAGTATATTTCTTTCACGCAACTCTGAATGGATATTAAAATATTTCAGAACGGTTCTTGTTTAAAGCAACATACAAATGATTTGCGGTAACAACGTATAAATAAGAAGCACTCTCGTGATTAATTGTATTAGACGTATTTTAAAATAAAAACTGTTACTTCGCTCAGGAAATAAATGAGTTGGTCTAGACATAAATAAGTGTAATGTTTCCTAACTGTCTGCGGGAACGGAAGGCTGCTCTATGTTTTTGTTGGGATTTTCCCTACAATCCCTTTGTTTAAAAGATTTAAAAACTTACGTACACATAATTAAGCTTACATTTTTTATTCGAAATGAGGCAGAAAAATTTATGCGGCTTATTTAATAGTATGAACCATTATATATCCTTTAGAAAAGTGTTAATTAAATAATGTTTTCTTTGATTTTCATTTCATTTCATTCGTAACGCAGTTGAGTTTAAATCTCAATTTCACGTAGTATTAGTATAAGTTCATGTTATAAAACTATGTACTGCTTTCTATTACTTTTCTTTTTATATACGTTCCTTTAGCTGACTAATGATATTTTTGAATGTCACATAACTTTGCAGTGGGTTTTTATGCACCCACTGGTATGCAGTACCTTTTTAAACGCAATCACAAATGGCATATACAAGATGTATGTACATATATAAATAAAATTATGACTAACCTGATTATTTGTTTATAAAAAGAACCAAAATTGTACTTTAATTATTATTATTTTATATTTAAGGACTGTTCAGCCACGGTTCTTGTTAATATTGTTTATATTTTTACTTTGAATAAGTTTAATCAGTATAAAAAGTTATAATCGAATACCGCGATCAAAGAATTCTCGAATTTGTGGTGAAAGGATCCAATCAAATAGAAAAATGCACAAGACAGCTATTGATTCGTCTAGAACACAAAGACACAAAGGGGAAAAAAGTGATTGTTAGACTTGTTCTAGGTAACGAAGTTGAACAATAAGAGGTGTTCTAGTGAATTAGAAAGAGTAAATTGATTCAAACGATTACGATGTCTTGTAAGGAATGAACTTCTACAGATCTACAATGTTAAAGATGATTTCTTGAAACTGGCTTGTTTTTACTTAGGCTAGAGATTTTATTCTTTAGAGATATTGTTTAAAATTAATTGATTTATTCAGTGATTTAAATGTAATAGTATTTTATGGTCATATGATGACATTATAAAGTCAAATTGATCTAAAATCAAAAATAAAAAAGTAGATAACTTTCTTACTTATAATTCATATTTTATATACCTTCTTTTTATTACGAAATACAAAATTCCACTCTAAAAACGTGTCTCAATTCTTTTCTATTATTCGAGTAATTAACGTTTCTTTAGAGTTTTTAAATGTCCAGTGTTTATGTTGCACGTTAAAAGATTATAATATTTTGATAGAAAAGTCAATTCTTTTTTCATTATTACTATTATACATAGAAAAGATAAGAAACTGTAACATTGTAATTATAATTTCTTACTAGTTTAAGAAGTTAAATAAGTTGAATTCTGTTTGAAGTACTAATTACTGCTACTGCTTAGTTCAACAATTTTCTTAGAGGATTACAACTAGTAATAGCAGTAAGGAGCTGTCGTTTCCTTGCATCAAATAGCTTTGTCGTCTTCAAACTTTATGTTGTAAAGCATTAATTTGTTGTAGTTTCACAAGGATACTCTGTTACGGTGCTTGAGCATAGCGTCTCGGGGATTTGGTCCTCAAAGATATAAAAAGCTTGTGATTTTCGTCTTTCCATTTATTAATATATCCACTTGTGTGATGATTATTTATCATAAGAATCTCTATTCCTTTGAATTCAATGATTTTTATTATCGTTAGGTATAATAAAAAATTACAAGGTAAAAGTAAGATATGATATAAAATATGAAATAAATGCAAATACATACTTTTCTCAATAATTAAATGGTAAACCAATACCATTCGCATTCTCATTTATTAGATTCAGTCACTAGAACTAACTCATATACCTTTTCTATACAACACAATTGACGTTATCGTTTTTTTAATAGAATATTTCATTCAAATAGAAGACTGTTCCTTTGTTAAAGCTTCTATTAATAATAAATAGAAATGGATATGTCAAAAGTTCAATTGCAGTTTTAAATTATGTTACCTTTGTCATTCGATGAATATAGACTTCAAAGAGATAGGTTTTCATAAAATGATATGTTCTTTTTCAACGTTTAACATTCCCTTGGAACATTTAGATTGAAACGAAGTCGCGTAGCTTACAAATGAGCGCATTTGTCTATATTTAACAGCTGGATGTAGGCTTTGTTTAACAGAATGCTAAGCTTGCATATAAGCTTTGAAAGTTACATTCATTTATTTTCAACGTGGTCACCCTACATCTATATATTGGGTCTTATTTACATGAATATTTTATTATAAGTAATTCACAATATAATGTATAAAATTGACGTATTAAATTTGTTATTACTATTAATCTTATGTAACAAAAACACTTTAGTTTCTTATTAAGTAATCACTAAATGCTATTAAGAGAAATTATTTTCCCTAGAATTCTGGATTATGGCAAGGACGGATGGTGAAACGTGGAAAAATTCCAAAGAACGACCTCGGTGAATTTTGGCATTGGAAAGATTTGGATATCGGCAAAGATATATGTATGTATGGAAAAGTCTTCCATACAGTCTCCTGCGATTTATATACAAAGGTAAGCTTATATACGTAATGTTTAATCTTTTACGAATTGCTTCTAAATTATTATAGATTTTATTTTATTTTTTATTCGTATGAATATCCGAACGGCACGCATTAAACACAAAATGGCGACTATTAAAATGGTTAAACGTTTTAATCGGTCAGTTGGATGTTCGGATCGCTTTTATATCACAAATTGGCCACCGGACCAAAGTTATTATGAGATAAATTAAAAATTTCGCAGACAAATATTCCAAGTATCGAAATTACATTAACGATGAATTTTGCTTTTATGTCAATTTTTCTAATAACATGAAAGTATCCAATCGTTATAAAAATGTATCCACAATTTTGTAAGGTCATTAAATAAAAATCGTAAATTACTTTGTCTATAAAAAGATTTTGTCGCTTTAAGAAATTTGATTATTTTTCTTATAATTTACTTTAGACTTCGCTACATTGAAAATTACTGACAGTGACAAGTGACATTAAAAAAAATATGTTTCTGGTTAAATGAATTTAATTTTTGATTTAATACAAAATTATTTCAATGGGTTGTAGAATTACTATTTTTTTCAACTCTTGACAGTATTTTTTTAAATATTTGTTTGATTTAATATTTATAATAAATCTTTCATTATCTAACTGTACACAGATAATTAAAACTTATTTAGAAATGTTCGGAAAAGTTTCGAAACATTTCATTTTTAACTGCAGTCATTAATAAGACATTTTGTGAAATGTTTATAGAATGTACGTATAATTTTAAATAATTCAAATATCTTTTCACACAATACTATGTTACTCTAAAACTAATGGTCAAAATGTAACATGTTGACAGCGCACACTATTTTATTTTCGGTTTTATTTTTGAGCCAGACATAAAATATTTATATTTTGTATAAAGCGATGTCTTAAAAACGATACATTTTCTTCTTACAACTTGTTTAGAGATGTTCCACCAAAATCTCGAATTTCGAGAAAAATTACTTCGGTTTTTTTTTAATTTTGCGGATTGTCCATGAAGTTTTTTCTTCAAATAATAAATATCAGCTAATAAAGGTATATAAATAATTAAAATATGTCTTTAAAACATTGATAAATAACGTTCAGCTTTACATTTTTTAATCATTTCATTCACTTTGATATAAGATTAGAACATTTTTGCTCTTATGTAATTCAATTTCGTCTGTGAATAATCCCGACATCCCGGGATTAGATCGAGATTGGATTCTCTAGTTTACACTGATCCTTGACGATTTATCTTAGAAATGCATATATGCAGTCCAATATTGTCCACGTTTAGTGTGTCTACATTTCAAAGTGCTTTAAATTATGAATTTCATTCGCTGCTTACATTTTCTATTTCGTTTTAAAAGAATACATATTACATTTTTCTCTGAAATTTTAGAATTTTTGGAAATAATAACGTATTTTATTTTAGGTTACCATCATATATGTATGTTGTGCCTTTTACATTGTATGAATGTAATAAGTAGAATGGTTTGTAAGCAAATATTTTTATAGTCTGTGGGCTCATGTAGAAGCTGTCTTAATTAGACTTATATAATATTTTGGTGCTTGAGTAACGTTTTATATTATATTGTAAATATTTTAGACAATAATAGAATGTATAACAATAATATGTATAGGTACAGGTTAAAAAAATGTCGGTTTTTTCATAGAGTTTTTGTCTTTCCTGAATGTGTAAGCAGATAATTTTATCCCTATTTTTTCAGAGTGACTTAATATTATGTACATATCTACCTAATAAAAGTATATCATGATATATTAATTAAAATATTTTCCAATATGTCCAACTGAATACAATTTCTTTTATGCTATGATATCTTCACTTAAAGTGTCGTAGTAATAGTTTCTTACCACTAGGTATGACCTTATAATTATACAATCAGTTGCATTAAATTTGAATACCTAAAATTAAGCTTGTTTTGAAAACTGGGTGTTTAAAAACCAGATTTCAATATGATAAAAAAATTGATGAATAACAAATTTTTAGTAAAAAAGAGAGATTAAATCGAAATTTCATGCAATTAACAAACGAAAGATATTGTATCATTTCAGATTTACTCTAAAGCTAGAATAGTATTTAATTTTCATATAATAACTTATTTTACAATTTCATATATAATTAATTTATTTCATTTTATGAATGACAAAATTGTAGATTTTAAATTTTTGAATGTGACCAAAGACAACAAGTCATTTGTCATAACGTACTTTGTGATGGGAAAAGTCAATTATGACATTTGACAGCTAGATGTTTTATGTCATGTTTTGATCGATTATTAGGTCAGAATCAGATTAATTAAGAGAGGCCGGATAATGAGATAATTTGATATATTTATTTAATTGTAATTTCTTATATCTATAGAAATTTACTATAGGTAATGTACTGTAAGTATGTTTATCGTCAATAATAAATTGCAAAGAAGACTTCTTCCATTGAGTACTATGTAATACAACTATTCATTGAATGTTTTAATTACTTTGTGGTAGCCTTCACAGGAAATTATATGAATTTCTACAAAATTTTAACAAATTGTTTACTACCATCATATATTCACATTTTGTGAAATAATATTTTAAATGTAAGAATACGTTTTTCAAACATCTTGTTACGTAACCTCGTCTCATACAAAGTGGTTTGATTATTATGAAAATTCGTATTTTGTTACTTAGTGAATTAAAACCAATTACTTCATGAGTCATAACATAATAATACTAAATCAAAAACATATACATACTTACCTATATTAAATATACTCTTTGTCTATTTTCTTTGTATATATTATTTTTTAGAAAATGTCCGCGCAGTAACTTTGTTATTATAGGGAATTTTGGAAAAGAATACGTAATATCGACTTTCTTAACATAAATTTTAAACATAATTTCAAGCTAAAAAAGTGCAAAGAACTATTAAATATAAATCTTTTGACTGTAAAAATTTATGAAATATTTTTATCTGTATATTATTATACCGTACTCAAATAACATAGACAACGCAATCTCAAGTATTCGTATGTTAGAGAAGGAAAGAAAATTATTACATGTGTGCGAGCGAGATGGACGACCAGCCGATAATTCCCTCTTGTGACGTCACGTTTGTTGCTAATAATCTCCACTTTATTGACCAGACGCCTAGCGATTACCGACTTGCTTGATGTTTTATTTATATTATCGTTAAACTATTTCATATAAACGAATTGTTTGAAAATAATCCCTAATATCATAGGGATTTATATACTGTGTATGATTATCCTAAAATATTATGTAGGTTAAATATTTCTTACCGTTTTTATTTAGGTTCACTTGACGCCCGTGACCGATGCCCGCGGTCAGAGTAAACTGGTTTTGTATTGCTATTTCTGCGGGTGTATAGCTGCGGACGACTTTTTTTATGTTAAATGAATTGTTATCAATACTTAATGGATAATATTACTTAAATTTAATCAATTGTTTCAAACTGCTCCTTAAGTCGAATTAAATAACAGCTAGTTTGTAATAAAATTAATGATAAGTCCTTAGCGCCGACTATAGGTAGGTACCACTTATTGGAATGCAATTGGTAAAATAATCTTAAATGTTATGTATTGATATAACCCTTTATTTTACCGAAAAATAATTAATTCGTAACAAAGAAGAGTAAACGAAAGTGAAACAATTTGAGTTTTAAATTTTTCAATATTAACAAGGTTTTGAAATTTTTATACCGATATCTTCAAAGAAAATTTTAGGAGAAGTTTCAATAAATATTTGTGATGTAAATATTGGTTGGAGGCGATAATGATTTCTAAACAAATAAATATGTATTAAGTTGGTCTATTTAATTCCTATTTTAGAAAACAAGATTTCTGCTAGTCTTTATTAAAATATGTTGAATATGTGTAGTAAATATAATAATGTTTTTATAAATAAATATCAAATTAATAGGACACGATAAATGCTATTAAAAATGATCAGGCGTTACCAATATTCATATATTTAAATAATAACATGATCAATTTAAAAAGTCCTCATTCATTTAATAATGCAATTAATACACGATGGTTAGAAAAGCTCATAAATAATTAAAATAAATGGAACATAATATACTAAATTAATTGCTTCGATTCCGCCGGTGTTGTTTTCTAGGACATCTATAATTGGGTCTTGATAGCTAAGCCTCGATTAACTAGTAGGTATACTGAAATGTATTTGTTGTTAAAAGAAAATAACGCTAACTTTTATTATAATAAAACGATACTACTTCTTTAAAAATAGAAGGAAATAAAAAAGAAAATACTTCTAGAAAGTTCCATTTTTTGTCATTGATGACGTTTTGTTTTTTTTTAAAAGAAATATGGCAGTAGTGCAGTGTCGGACGTCCATAGCGTTAGTTTTCATCAATCAATCGTTGCCAGGTGCAGTATGTTGACAAATTGTATTTTCAACTTCTCTGTGGCATCGGTTTTATAAAGGCATTGTTTTGGTATAGAAATATATCGTTTTGTTTGTGAAATTGGATGAATAAAAATACCTTAGTTGCAAAGAAATTGGTTCGTTTACTATCGTTTATATATATTTTTAAAACTGCTCTTCAAATATATACTTATAATGGTGTAATTGTACATTAAACGTGATGATGTTTTTGTAATCTTAAATTATTACTTTTTTTTAACAAATCGTGTTTTGACATTAATATTACAATATACAAACTTTTTAACAAAGAATATATTTAACATTGTAGTTATAAAACATAGGTCTTACCCCGTAATTTAGTTACACAATATCACAGAGCACCACTATAATGCCATATAATTTGTATAGCCATATAACAATTAATTAAATATGAAATCCCATATACAATACCCCTCACAGGTTGAGGCATGGGTTTTACTGCGTACACGAATGTGTGAACAATGCGGCACCCTGTATACCATCTGAACAATACACAAGCAAATTCAGCTATAGGACCTGTTGTTAGATACAAAGCTCCTAATATCCAAAAGGCTGGTATATTTTCAAGATCATTCAAATGTGCTCTTCGTACTCTTTCGACATCTGGATCATCTAACTTCAGTTTTCCTTTAACGAATTTTGCGTCTTCTTCATTCGCGAAAATCTTCTTACCGTAACGCACTCTTCCCGTCAACACGGCCATAAATAGAACTTTTAGCGCCAGGATACTGGAGTACAGAATGTATGAACGAATCGCCGGATCAGTGACAGAAAACATGATGATAAAATTCGGTACGTGTGGTCAATACAACGCTTTAATCACTAGTGGACGATATTTGAAACTGTTACTAGCCAAGAAAACGACCAGTCATTGTGACAAGTTCAAGTTGAACTCGAAATATTGAGTTATATAAATTCCGGGGTATTACATTGTGGTTTGTTCCGATATCAACGAATTAATTGTTTGAGTGCAACAGGTTGAGGAAAATATTATAATTCTCATATTAGAATTAACCTTATTTCTTATCGCTACAAAATCTTCAACACACCCACGATAATAGCATAACGTATTAAATTTTAATCAAAGATAAATTTATTGTCATATTTTTGAAGCGACTTTATCAAATCAGAACGAAATAATTATCGTAATCATTAACATTATTTTTGTGACTTGATAATAATTGATTGTAATACTATCTTTTGGAATAAGTTCCTAACTGAATATCTTGTATATGTTGTACGGACATACTAAACATAAATCACTTTTTATTCTATCTTGTTTTAATTGACATATATATTATATATGTATGTCTGTATGAATCTTAAATGCCGGTCACAGCTGATCAGTTTTTAAAGACCCTGTACCTCTAAAGGTTTAGTTGTTAACGTAAATATCAAGGAAACATGATAGAAGACATTCTAATGATTGTAATTGAAGAAATTATGATAGAACAGAAATTTAGTTAAGGTTAATTTTTTTTGGAACGGAGTCTTATTCCCAAACACATCGTATAGAGTTATAAAAGATATTATCTTAGAATATTCTGTACTTTAAAACTTGTCTACATACAATTTTTCTTTAATAATAATCACACCTTGACCTTTGTTCAGCTATTAATGTACCATATAACTATGTATATATAATACAAATAGGTTTCGTTTTGCTTCCTTGTAATGATTTTTTGTTAGGTAAAATAAGTTACTAGTTTTTGATTGTGATTCAGTTAGTTTTTTTGCACGTCAATGCACGTTTTGTATTTCAATATGCATTTGGTTGTATTTCCGAAAAATCTTTCTTCTCTCTGATTTTCTCCTGAAAACCTTATATTAAGTTTATTCTGTAAAAATATGGATGATTTTCAACTTAGGTAACTTGCAGTAGGACTTCTGAGGAAGCAACGTTATCGAATTGCGTAAAACATTTTATACTTTTCTTCGTTTGGTTCATTTCCGTTGAAAAAAATTAAATTGTTTATATCAAAAGTAATTTTTAAAAATGTTTCCAAAACGAAAATTTAACGGGAGAATGGTAGCACTATCTTCTAGAATTGTCTATTTCGTACAACTGTCGATTTAAAATTCAACTTTGAAACAACTTCAATCATAATCTTTACCAGGAATTAATGAATAAGTAATTATAAATGTATTATTACAAAGTAGCTTTTGTCTGCATTTAGAATCGCAGGATACTTTAATGGACACCTTAATTGCTGGTTTGTTATTAGTACATGCATCCGTAATTGTTTCCAGCCAAACGCCATTTGAATATTTCTCTCATTAAATATACATAACGTCGGTAGCAAGCGGGGCAGTTGAAAATTAAACAGTTAAAATTGGCTATGGAAAACATGCACAGCAATAGTAAGGAGCATACTATAATGGAAGTAAAATAAAATTCAACTTATTTACGATATATAACTTTTTATCAACATTATCCATTATCGCAATATTATTTTAAAGAATCACTGATAACATAGATATGTATGAAACAAAATATATTACTTTATTTATAAAATAATAAATGTAGGTTCAGTTTTTGCTGAACTAAAATTAACCGGTTTATGAAATTAAATCTAATGGATGAACAATTAAAAAAATAATTATTTTCTGTGAATGTTTTGTAAAACTTATTATTAATATATATGGGGCCTTGAGAGGAGTAATAAAAAAACAATATTTTTAATATTTTAATAAATAGTAAATCAGTTATTATCAAACATTATTATTTGATCTAGAAAGCTTACACGGTTTTTTGTTTTGGATGAACAAGTATTTCTGAATACTGTTATTACAAGGAGCTAATATAATGAGTAATAATTCTTACCCCCATATAAATGGTGATGAAATACGGAATACCAAAAGCTATGCCTCGTGCGGGTTGTGGTAGAGGCGTCACGGCGTACACCAGAGTGTGAAGGATCCTCCCCGCTGTGTACACTCTGAAGAGGTTGACAGCGACCTCGTCTGACGGTCCGGTCGTTAGATACAACGCTCCTACAACCCAGAACACTGGAATGTTCTCCAGATCATTCAAATGAGCGCGACGGACTCTCTCCACATCAGGGTCGTCGTATTTCACTACGGAACCTTTGAGTTTTGTGTCTTCTTCATTAGCAAAGATTTTCTTTTTGAATCTCATACGCCCTGTCAACATTGACATTCCCAATACTTTGAGAGCTAGTATTCCAGAGCATGCTATGTACGTCTTAACAGCCGGTTCCACAATCGTGACGGGCACCATGTCTAATATTGTTTAGTAAACAGCATACGTGTTGCACACTTGACTCCGCAGACTGAACTGCCAGTCATCATAATTCATAAACATGATTGTCATCATATAATCCTTGAAACACAACATGTACTTAGTTGCATTACGTAACGCGTCGTTTCATATCTCAAAATATCTAAGAAATTTATACAAAGTATGTATTATTAAGTATAAATAGATATTTTTACTATTAAATTATATGAGAGATGCTTTAAAACTAGATTTGAGAGGTCTTTGACCAGACTCCGTTATAATATTCAAGAAACCTGTTTCTCAATGTATCAAAACATCTTTTGAAGGTTATTTTCTTATAAGTACTTAAAATAATATTATATTTTATTTTGTTTTATTATTTCAGATTTCCATACTATAATTACATTTATTTTTCAATATAGGGAAGCCATTAAATATTCATTTAAAATATGACGTTGTATAATTTGCGGTTTTAATAAAAATATGAAATATCATTCTAGTATTAAAAGTATCAACTTTCAACTTAGTTATTATTTCAAGTAGTGTTTATATTTGAACTGATAAGAAACTTGGTATACCGTGCGTAATACATTAATATACTCAAAGGGTCACTTACATTGATAATAAACGCGCATAATTTTACATGTTTGTCATTAATATGCGAAATGCGTTGACTAGACAAACAAAATATCTTAAGGAAGAGTTAGGTTTTAATAATAATTGAATATAAAGAAACAAAACATAGTATTTTCGTATAAAATATTTAATAAACAAACCGGCAAATTACAAAGTAATAACTTAATGAAGTTATAATTACAAAGCAGTTATATAGTATAAAATGACCTGGAGGCCCATATACCACTTGATGAGGTAGGGTATCATGTACGCTATGGCCCTGGTCGGCTGTGGTAAAGGTACCACCGCGTACACTAGTGTATGAATGATCCGGCTTACTGTATAAACTCTGAAGAGAAGTGTTGCCCACGCGGCTACAGGCCCCGTCGTCAAATACAGAGCTCCAATCACCCAGAACGCTGGAATGTTCTCCAAATCATTCAGATGAGCCCGACGGGTCCGCTCAACAATCGCATCATCATATTTCACCTTCCCTTTAAAAGCCTTAGCGTCCTCTGGGTTAGAGAAAATTCCACTCGACAAACGCACTAGTGACGTCAGTGTACTCATAGACAATAGCTTCAGTGCTAATATAGCTGAGTACAGTAAGTATGATTGTACTACGGGATTTGTTAATTCTAACACAGACATTTTGACGTTATTTTAATGAAACGTTAAAGTATAAAGTACGAATTAAGTATAGTAGTACGCGTCGGCGGCCGGCGTACGAGTGACTGATAGATATAATGTAAAGTGTAGCTTGTTTTGTTTGACGTGGAGCTAACGGTATTAACATGCAAGTTTGTGCTTCGTCCGTTATATCAGTTGAGAGTTTATCTTTAATTAATTTTGATATTTATTTATAAAACTGAATTAAAGTATAAGTAAAACTAGCAGTTGTACAGATATGTATGTATTTTTGTTGTAGATATTTGTGGTCGGTGTTAAGAAATTCAGTTTTGAATGAAGGCTGTTAATAGATATAATGGAATGAAAATATACTTTTTGTATGAAAATTATAATAATAAGTATTCCAAATTAACGACTGTTTATATTTTATATGTTTAGAGAGTAAGTCTGATTTAAAAAATTGCAATCGTTGAACTTTAATTTCCAGTTGCATGTATTTTATTAATTACAGAAGTTAAAAGTGAACAAAATAAATGTTTAAAATAACGAAGCGAAAATAAAGTTCGAGCTGCTAATTTAAATGTAAATTTTCGTAATAGAATAAAAAAAAAACGATAAATATGTTATGTACATTTCATGCCTAAAAGGTTGAAATTCAGTAACCTTTTGTTTTAAATATTTTAATTCATTTTTGTATCTTAATTATAAAAAAGTTGAAATTACTTGTAATTAGCCGTCGGTTTTTCTTTTGACTGCCAACACGGTTTTGTTTGTATAGATAAAGTTTATTAATAAAACAAACGAATGCTATAGGTATTTGCATGGAGATTTAATATTAACGTGCTAATTCAAAACGGGAATAAGGTTCAGAAGAAATAAAATAAATAACTTCGCACAAAACTATTCTCATAATATTTTATTTGTTTATATTTGGTAGTACTATTATATTTTTGACTACGATTTCAATTCTCTAGAGGAAGGAAAACTATGCAATTCTTACAAATCCCTTGTCCAAAGTAAGTTTAAAAGTATAACTGTTGATTTTAAGTTAAAAATGCAAACTCTGAGAGCACTGAAGGTCATCTATTACGCGAATATAATCTTAGATGCAGTAAGATGGCTCTGTACATACCACTACTTGTAAAATGTTTTGTGTGAACATCTAGTTTCACTCCACTTCCACAGATGTACGGGCTTGTAAAGAAAATAAAGAATAATAGAAATATGTTTTATTTTAATGGACGTCAAATCACTGATTTACATAGTTTCTTAAATGAAACATTATATTTTATCTTCCAATTCGAATAAACTAGTATCTAATTTCACTAAAGCTATATTTTACACAGAGTTAAAGTAATGGCAAATAACTTTCACACCCATATAAATGGTGATCCAATATGGAATACCAAAAGCTATGCCTCGTGCGGGTTGTGGTAGAGGCGTCACGGCGTACACCAGAGTGTGAAGGATCCTCCCTGCTGTGTACACTCTGAAAAGGTTGATAGCGACCTCGTCTGACGGACCGGTCGTTAGATACAACGCTCCTACAACCCAAAACACTGGAATGTTCTCCAGATCGTTCAAGTGAGCGCGACGAACTCTCTCCACATCGGGGTCGTCGTATTTCACTACGGAACCTTTGACATTTGTATCTTCCTCATTAGCAAAAACTTTCTTTTTGAATCTCATACGCGCTGTCAGCAATGACATTCCCATTACTTTGAGTGCTAGTATTCCAGAGCATGCTATATACGTCTTTACAGCCGGTTCCACAATCGTAACGGGCACCATGTTTAATAATATTTGGTTTTAAATAGCATACGTGTTGCACACTTGACTCCGCACACTGAACTGAAATGATGTCATCCAAAATACATACACGATACAATAGCTCACAACATGATTAAACGTAAAGTGGCACATCGCTAAACAAAAAGATAAGTATAAAATACTGAACATATGTTGTAGCGAAAAAATATTCAGTTATCTCCAAGTTGCTATCAATTTATGTATTGCTATCAATTTATATAAGATGAAATATAAAAAAAGTTATATTATCGAAACTATTATCTTAGTAGTTTATGTCATGAAGTATTACTTCCATTAAATATCTATGAAGTATTTGTTCTATCATTTATCATGTATTTCTCTATTAAGCAATGATGTAAAATTTAGGTAAATGATTATAATGATTATAAATAAAGAACAAAATAAGTTACGCTTAATAAGAAGAATTAAATAAATTACACCTGTTATCACATAGCTATTGTAAATTCAAAACCAGACAATGGAAAGAAAAGGAGCGTTAACAGTTATTCATTCATAACACTTGCGTATTCTTACGTTCTTAGTATTAAAATAGGTTATTGAATCGAAGAGGGGAAACACTTCGTATGTGGTGTGATAATGCTAACTTGGACTTCTATCACAGATCAATGTCTTATGATATCTATCATAAATTACCATCAGAACTCTTCATTACCAGACGTGTGAATTTCTATTTTCTTCGTTGCATTTTCTGTTCTTCCCTTTTTGATGTTTCATTTTCTTATTTTGTACTTCGCCGCTGTTTGCGGTTGCTTCATAGTTGATACCAATAACTACTGTCCGGGCTCTTGCAATATAGGTAGAGTATTACTGCAAAGAACCAAGTTCTTATCAACTACAAAATTATAAACTTAAACATTAAGAATGATGGCTGGAAATTTCAAGAAATATTTTCTTATAAATATGATGCCACCAATCTTGATAAAAGCGTGATAGAAATTTGATTTCTTGCCCGTAATGTGGCGTTGTCACAGTTTAAATTGAAAATTGATTTTAATGTTTGTTAAAAGCCTTAAAGGATTGATGGAAATCCGATATTCTATGTCGTTAATTTGCTTTCGAAGCATGTGCAAGTCAAGTCTCGGAAAGGTTGTTGTATCTAATCAATAGTGACCTTTCCAATATTTACGGAAACATAATGTAATATATAATTGCCATTTATGAACTAGATTTGATGATATTAATAGCTATTTTACATAATTGATCAAAACAATTAGCGGCTAAGTGCATTCACGTGCTAAATTGACCGCCTGTGGTTTCGTACTTAGCAAATTTGCTTGATACCATAATGTAAACTAAAAATAAAATTATATATTATGCTATTACTTTATTTTATACTAAAATTCTATACAAATACGAAAAAGCACAGAATACGAAGTTATCTTTTAATTGTAAAAGGAAAAGAGATATCAAATAAGAACAGAAAATCTATTTCCACATCGCATGTCTCGGAATATAAAAAGTATTATAAAACCTAAGGAACGTGCTCCGAATGTTTACAGTACGTTTGTAAATAGCCTCGCAACTGGCGGACTCTGGCATTCAACTAGATTGAGGAGTTCTTATAGAGACGTCACAAAAGTTTGTCGTACTGTAGGGTATATTTAAAAAATAATATGTACAGCAGAAATTAACTTGAATTCATTTTTACCTTATATATTTCCCATAATAGAACTAAGCTTATTAATTGTCTATTTAATAAGATGTCCTTAGTTAAAACAATTAATGAGTTTTGGTAGACTGCAGTTTACCGCCTCATTGCCTACAAAAGCTATCATCGGAGTGATCGTTCAATTTAAAAGTGCATTTAAACTTTAAGGGGCGAACATTAATCAAAGACTGGCTTCCACCTCGTTAACTGATAACTCATGATAAGATCTCAATTTTTCATTGACAATGAAGTATAGTGAAGCTATGCAATTTTATTTTACGTTACTGAGAATTTTTGTAGGATATATTGTCTGTTCACACTTGGTTGATGTTAATACCTATATTCAGGAAAATATAAATAATTCTACATTGAGCGAGAACCTAGTATCAAGACAATTAAATTCTAATTATTGTCATGTTATAGAATGATCGTTAATTAAATGTCAATTTTTAATATATATCTATGTGTAAAGCAACATATGTATAAGGAATAAAAAACATAAATCTGTGTGAACCTCAATAAAAGAATAATAAAATTATTCTTTTCTTCTCACAAAGAAAGATGAAATTAGCGACACTTAATATACATAGCGAGCTTATTTGCATACACAAGGGTTTCAATATATGTATATTTTCAATAAAACAGATCTTACGTATTAATTCTAATTTATATAATAACTCTACTGGCAATTGTGAAGTACTTAATCGAATATTCATATACTGAAAATTCCGTATTAACACTTGAAAAGAGCTGATACTCTTACATTGCTGGTCTGGTATTACCCAAATATAGCAAAGAAATACAATGAGGAAAGTGGCTTTTAATCGAAAAACACAACATTTAAAATTTCAGAGCTACGATGTTATAGACGTACACGCTCGCTCACACACACACACACACACACATTCAAACAGACATGGACTTCATTAACTACATATATATGTACAAACTTATAACACGTATTTTTGCGTCGGGGGTTAATTTGATTCAATTTATTCCAATTTGGCATACAACCGGTAGTGTCATCTATAGACAGTGTTAAGAGACTTCATCCATAATATAGCTGTTAGTTCGTGGTCCCTTGAAAATTACGAAATACATTATTAGTCTATAGCCCTAGTCTTATTCAGATGTATAAGCTAAATTAATTTAAAGTTCAACCAAAATTAGTTTAATAGTTTTTAGTAAAAGAAAACATTCATACGTCCTCACAAACTTTATAATATTAGTAGAACATTACACACATTATCTTGACTTTAACATCGTAATACATAAATCTATGAAGATTTCTGAATGTGTGTATTGTCACATAATAAATGTATTATTTACATTTTACTATTGAACTTTAAATAATCTACAATTAATTATCATAGTCTGTTATGTAATATTTTCTCAGAACCTGTTGACACAATACGATTTCGAATTTCAATATAATCCTAGCAAGAGCGTAATCTCTCCAACTATAGGCGTCGATCGGCCACTGATTGCCTTATCCGCTGGCATCGTATGTGTCACTCAGCATATTGTTTGTATTGAATTCGTAGCGACCCAGATAATCCAGATAACGTTTCAATTATATTTATGCTGCTATTCAAAATAGTATTTGATGAAACAAGAGTAACGCTTGACAGCATTTTAATTAGTTTAAAATGTGATGCTATATCTAAGAGTTTACGGGTACAAGCTAATCATGATTTTTGGATTTCATGTTTCAAATCGTTCTTTGTAGTAACAGTAATAATGGGCAAACGGGATGAAAGTGTCTGTCAGTTAGGCTTGTTTATTTGTCATCTGTCGCAAAGGATCTTTTCATATCCTAAGCATCAAGATTCAAGAAAACTGAACGTCCTACTCGTCCTACTCGAAACTAGGGTAAAAAGTAGAATAAAAAGACGCTAAGTAAAATCGAAAATTTAATTCCAATCAAAGTAAGATATGATTTATATCTGTTTAATAAATTGTTATAGATTAAATAATTTAAAACAAAATATTCGCCCCCGGGTGGGCTCGAACCACCAACCTTTCGGTTAACAGCCGAACGCGCTAGCCGATTGCGCCACGGAGGCTTGCATTTTGTAATAACAAATAAGGCATCGGGTCATATTAATAGTAAAATTATTACCATACCTATACCTATTATCTACTTTCTTTAATAAATTGATAAAAAATATTGAAATTAATGCATTTTTTTTTTATTACAAAACCAAATATTTATCGGTCTCCACCGAAGTCTCACATTTATAATAAGTAGTATATTATTTTATTATTAAACATACAACATTCTTTATCTTAACACTCAAGGGACGCCTCTCATCACTTTTTCTATATATTCGTGTAAACAGAACCAATCTCTTTCTGTGTAAAAAGGTCTTTGTGAATCTACAAATATTGAATATTTTATATGTGATTATACAAACAATAGAATTTCACGGTCTAACTATACATATAATCAATTAAGTACTAGAAGACCTGGCGAACTTCGTATCGCCCTATAATCAGGAAATATCTATTACGTTTTTTTATTTATATTTTTGGAGTAAGCCATAAATCTCCGTGTTTTGAAGTGCGACAGGATGATTGACATACTAGTTAGTTGTCAAATCTAATGTTAAAAAAAACCGTTTGTATGGGAAATAGAAAAGGGCTGTTTTTATGGTTTTCCCAGTAATGAATCAATTTTTTTCAGCTTTTATACCTTCCCTGAACCTCCACGAACATTTCAAGACTAAGATAAGATAAATCCATTCAGCTGTTCTCGGGTTTTAGTGAGACTAAAGAACAGCAATTCATTTTTATATATATTACTAGTTTTTCCCCGCGACTTCGTCCGCGTTAGTTTGGTCAAGAGTAATATATGTAGGTATAGCTGACCAGGCGAACTCTATTCCGTCTTAGAGGCCATAAATAATCAGGTTTTTCCTGTTTCAATCAAACAGAATGATTGACATATTAGTTAGTTGTCAAATCTAATGTCAAAAAAACGTTTGTATGGGAAATAGAAAAGGGCTGTCTTTAGGGTTTTCCCAGCAATTATTCCAATTTTTCTCACCTTTTAAACCTTCCCTGGACTTTCAGGAGTATTTCAAGACTAAAATTAGCCAAATCGGTTCAGCCGTTCTCGAGTTTTAGCGAGACTAAGGAACAGCAACCATTTTTATATATATAGAAGATTATAAATTATATATATATATATATATATATATATATATATATATATATATATATATACATACAGGGTGACTGGTGAATTACTATCAATATTTAAGGAGCATACTCGGTACATGATTCTCATTCGAATTATGTAAAAAAAATAGGTACTTAATTTTTGACCAAATTTCCGTAAAAATAAATAAAGTGTGTACACGTTCCAAGTGTTCCAAGTGTGGACGCGTGTGGCGGCGTGCTGATACAACACCACGCCGCAGCTGCGTCTGTGTGAGTGTGTGTGTATACCTAATCTGTAGGGTGTTCACACGATGCGTAATTAATTACACAACTTTTGGTTGACTTTACTTAGAAGTTTATTAATATTTATGTTGTATTAATTTTTATTTTGTCATATATGATCGTCAAATATCACGTCCTCAAATATCGATAGTAATTCACCAGTTACCCTGTATATATACATATATATATATATATTGCGCGCGTCCTAACAATTAACAATATAATTATGATAAAATGAAGTTTTATTTTAAAATATAATTTTAAAACTTTTATTATTTTCACGATCTACTTTTAAATTGGTATTTTTTTTAACTTGTAACACTTTTCCCCGTTCGACTCTAAAATAAATAAGTTCCATTAAACTTGAGGACAAATCGGTAATATTGATTCAGTTGTATTTTTGCTTACATTTTAAGACGTTAAATTAATTTGATTATATGTATTATAGGTTAGTCAATTACTATAAGGTATAATTATAACCTTTACTTGGAATGGTTATCTATTCTCAAAGAGGGTTGATGACAGGCAGGCGGCCGGACCTAAAAACAATTAGCCAAAACTGTTAACAACATGTAAGGCAGACCCTGGCTAAAGCTGGGAAATTGCCAGGTAGAAGAGACTTGAAATGGTTATTTAAAAAATCCTAGTTAAAAAAGAAAAATAATAATGGCAATTGAGTTTATTGGTCATTTGGATGAGACTTTTTTTAAATGAAAATATATATTTTATGAAAACTTAAACATTGAGACTCTGGATATTAAAATAGTTTTTAATGTAAGAAAATAAAGTAGATTTTTAAAATGTACAAATAATTCCTATCAGTTTTTCAACTGTAATATTTTTTTTTGTGTTTATGAATTCGCGCGCTTTTTTAATGATGATGTTATTATTTCAAGCTTTCTCTTCTTTAGAAGCTTTTTGTATGAAGTATATACACTGCAGTAGTATATATTGTACAGTCTGCAGTTTACACGATACACGATACAGTTTGCAGTTTACACTATACGCGATACAGTCTGCAGTTTACATTGAATAGTTAATCTTCGGATGAAAATTATAAGTAGCTACGTCTTTTGATATTATTCTAACATCTCGAAGATTCGAAACCGATTCTAACCTTTTGCTGTTTTATAAAATACTTGCTTTTGCCGCGACTTCGTCCGCGTGGAATAGTGACTTCCGGCAGATTTCGTTCTTCCCACATAGTTCCCGTTCTTGCGGGGTTTTCGGAATGGTCGAGTTCCCGTAGAATTTTCAGGATAAAACCTATGTTTTTTTTATTCACAATGAAGTACTCTTAAACAACAACATACTTATTTGTTTATTTGAATCAAGATTAATATTATTATGTTGATACAACTTAAACAAATTATTTCGACCAAATTAGGTACCATAAAAACGGTTTTTGTGAGTTAATCTTAAAAGATAGACATATACTGTCGCGGACTGTTTGATCATTTAGAGATTTAGATTTAGATCATTAAAAGAGCTATTATTTTTAATACATATTTTTTGTGTATCTTGAACCGTTTTCACGGCGCACGCAACGGAAAGCTACATACAAATATGAAATAATTTCTCCCGTTTTTTACACATTTACCACTATATCTTTGCTCCTATTGGTCGTAGCGTGATGTTATATAACCCACAGCCTTCCTCGATAACTGGACTATCCAACACAAAAAGAATTATTCAATTCGAACTAGTAGTTTCGGAGATTAGCGCTTTCAAACAAACAAACAAACTCTTCAGCTTTATAATATTAGTATAGATATATACCTACCTTAATATATACTTAAAATTTGTGCTATATGTAACTTAACATTTTATATTTCAATAGGTTTATATCGTAAATTTTTCAATAATAAAACCTGTTTTGCCTTAATATTATTATAAAAAAGCTAAATTTAAATTTACAAAATTTAAGTTAGTCTAGTGCTTGGTTCAACTTTGATTGTATTAAAATAATAATGATTATTATAAAATTTTACGAGAAATTATCCTTAATATTTCGTGAGAACGAAAGTGAAAACCAAACGCAACATAATATGAACAAAGTTGAAAGGAAAACAAAAATTGTTTATTATGGAGTAAATGCAAGGCCAACCGTGACGTCAATGTTTCCCCTATTGACATATATTTTGAATTTGCTGAACCAAAATCAATTGTGATTACGTTCGAACAATTGAACATTTAAAATACTCATAGTTGCTAAAATACTTATACTTACTTGTCTTTACTTCCTGCAGTATGAATGTATCTCGACTTACTGTGAATAGAGTTTTAAGCGAATACAAAGAATATTTTTTTGCATAATACAAAGATCTTTTCTGGATTTGTTTGCGGCTATAAAGCAAATTTATATAAAAAAGGAGTTTCTCAAAAATCCGTGTGGTAGTTTTAGGAACAAACGTCCTATCATTAACCTTTTTGAAGTTTTTATATTAGTTTCCTTCGTGGGAGGATTTAAGGCGTTTGGTAGTAAAAAGAAATTTATTAATAATAGTAACATTACAGGAATGGCTCGAGTCACAAGGAATAGAGTTATCGAAAGAGGAGGATTTACCTACAGATCCTTACACAGAAAAGGAGCGTTGGAAAAACATACAGCCACCAAAACGATCGAAATCACACGACGATCGCCTCCTAAGATTCCTAGAATACGAAGGGAAAGTTTTATCGTGAGTAAAATATATTTTTATAGATGTCCATTATAACTTTAACCCCAGCTAAAGGAAAATGTCATTGGAACAACCTCGCAATAATTCTATGGCTCTACGGCTCATTTAACCTTCGAATTTGGAGCCTTTTCAATGTTATTGCTACAAGGTGTTGAAGGTATATCGTGGTAAAAAGCAGATAAAAAATTTCTTTCTCAAAAAACTAGATAGTTTTATTTCGTCACAAGAACATAATAAAAAAATCTCTTTTCAATATTATTATAATCTCAATTAGAATTGAAGAAAAAGGTGATCTATGAGTACAAAAGGTGGGTTAGATTATACGAGACATGTCCTCAACCTCCTTGTTTTCCTCCTTTCGGTTCCTTTAAAGTCATTTTTAACGATTCTAACACTGCATAGAGAAATCAACTTATCTATTTGATTTCTTTTTTTATCAATATTTTAACATTTTTAGGAAAATTGAAATATGAATTGTTAAATTACTGTTATAACTATGTTTGAAATCAAGAGGTTGAGCTACATGTAGGCTCAGCATTATTTTCTGGTTTCCTTTAATCTAACTTTAATGTAATAACTTCAAGAAAAAGAGGAGATTCCTAGGTAGGTTTTTTTGATAAATGGCTACACCGGTTAGTATTGACATCCGATAGCATTTGTCCAGAAGTTAATTTTGAACTATATATTCGGTTGAACGGTTCCTTGAAGATGTTAAAAATCAAAGTTCTAAGTAATCGCAAAAAGATATAACGTTTATCCCGAAAATAACGTATATTTCGACACTCCCGAGGGAATTAAACTATATAGGGTACATTTTGTTGACGCATTACTATAAAATTTGTCAAGAACTACGGATTTATTCTAGAAATATGGGAAAAAAACGAAAAAATATATATTTTTATTAAGTCATAACAATCCTTGGTGGATGAATCTCATTCGCACTTGTCAGGATTTCGTTTTAATTATACTTATTGTATATGTATTTCGTATGATTTATGTTTTCATTTTTTCCTTTTACCTTAACGCAAGATATTTCAGTTGATATTTTGAACAGATGAAAGAAGACCTCTCAAATAAATGAAATTGTGTAATACATGTATGTATTTGAAACGTCTTTATCAATTCAATATTCACATAATAGAATTACGATGTTATTTTTATCTAATACAACCCATTAAATTAGTGATAAACTGATAATCCTTTGATTTAAATTTGTATTGACAAAATATATTCGGTATTGTACTTAGCTTTGATTATTTCATCTGAAATGTTAACATTTATTTTATCAATACGTCATTTTCAGTTTACACGAGAACAAAACAAACAAGCTCATATATATTCAATACGCTAATGTCATTCACTAGTGCATCGCAGTATCAGGTTAATATTCATGTAATCTGGCACCAAATAGTCAGCTTTCATAACTGAATGCTCCGTTTTATACAATTGTAACGTATAATTAACTAACAGCTTCCCAATAAACTTAATCAGAACTTTGAAGACAATGACAACTCTCGAGAGATGTAAGCAAATAGTTTTCTTATACAAAGCCATGTTACATTTATTGATATTAAATGCAATGTATTCTGTTTATCTATACATATAATAAAATTGTAGAAAAGTGCTGTCTGTACATTGAAAATAAAAATAAAAAAATAGCAGGGGTTATTGTTATGTCGATGTCGAACCCAAAAATGTAATTAATTTTTTTTTGTCTGTTTGTCTGTTCACGCTAATCTCAGAAACGGCTGATCCGAGTTGGATGCGGTTTTCACGAATATATTGTGGTATGCGTCAGTTATGCTTTAGTGTTTGTTTCATGTCAACCGGTTCATAAATAAAAAAGTTGTCAAAAAAACGCTGCTCATAGTCACTATTCCACGCGAACGAAGTCGCGGGCACAGCTAGTAGTGAATATTACTAAGAAAAATATAATTAGAAAAAGAACATAAATTACATACCATCCAATTTATTCATAAAATTAGTATGACATAATATATGATTATACTCATTTGTATAAGAAAATTTGAATCTTACAAATATCTTTGCTATTATATAATGGAAGTGAAACATTCTGGAAGTGTCAAAAGTCTTTGAAGTGACAGGTTGAATGACTTAATTAATATTGATAAATTAAGTAATATTATAATGTCGGGACTTAAGATCAATGGACGCGTCGTAACAAGGGCGAAACAAATATCAAGTAATGAAATATACACATTTAGGATATATTTAGATTTAATAACGAAACCTTATGTTTGTATAGAATACCATGTAGATAGATTTTATAGAATTAGAATAGATTTTATAGAAATGTGTCCATGAAATCATACTGTAAAAATGATTTTAAGTCCCATATTCTTTGCAAATTCTATTAGACCTTCTTACACTCTTACACTCTTGAGAAGGATATCATGGACTTAATCATACATTTTAAAAGAAGAAATACATTTACCGTCAGGTTATTTGGTTAGTTTGTCTACATTATAAAAAGATAAACAATGGATTATTAATAAATATCTGAATATAGGCGTCGACGAATGTAGGTCAATATTCTTGACACGATTTTACTAAGGAGCGGCGGGGAGGGGATCACACAAGGAAATTAATTATACCACATTTCAGAATCTACTTTAATTATGTACACTTGATATTCAACTTTGACCCATAAAATGTAATAAAATAAGATTAGTAATGTATTTTCGTCCAAAGCTCGTATGAAACAAAGCTACTTACGTTAACAAATAAAGCTTCTAAATATCCAAGTGTTGTTTTCCCATGGGTCAGCTATGTTGTTCCGACGGCTTGTTATACAGACAATAAACACACCTACCTCACATGATATTTTATTCTACCTTATAAATAACTTATATAAATAGATCGTGATTATTTAGGGAATTCCAGTGATAAAGCAATAACCGATCCCTTTTGTATATCGGAAGATCATAATCTTTGTTAGATCCCTTCCGAATAAACAGAGCGTAATATGAAATTGAGGAACACAAATAGAAGGACATCTCTTTGAATCACATTTAAGGCTTCATTCACACGAGGACTTTTTATATCTTTCGCTGAAAGGATTTTAATTATTCGATTCCCATATACATACATTCACACGTCAACTTTTCAAAACAAGCAGATATTTAAAGCCTAAAGTTTTCGCATTTTTCTGTTATAGATGTTGGACGTTAAATCGTATAGATCTTAAGAAACTCCTTATTATTATTTAATAGCCTCTCATTATCTTGAACTATAGTTATGGGTTCACGATTTCTTACAATATATTTTGATTTTTTTTCGTCGTCAAGAAATATAAATTGCTGTTGCTTGTATGTAATTTCGCAAAAACAATTTTCACGTCTTACAGAAGCAGAAGCCGTCGCAGAAGTGATTTTAAAACGTTAGTGTGAATCATTACATCCAAAGTGTTATATAAACGTTAAGGCTGTTTTTGGATGTAGTTGTTTTTTTAAATCTCGTGCAAATATGGCCTAATATTGAATATTGGTGATTTTTTTTATATAATTTATAACATGCAAAATACAAAGCTAGAATCGGTTTTATTTAAAGTTTTAGGTAAACTTCATCATATTTTTAATGAAATATTTAAATATAAAAAAAACTTCTGGTTTCCTCTGTTTTATAATACACTATAAATTCTTTAACATTCCTTAGTCATCGTTATCAATTAACAAACTCGAATAATATTTGTTCAATCTCGTATTCATCTACACATTTAATATGGCCATTAAAATGCACAAACAAGTCGTGGCGTCAACACACAGACTTTAGCTAAAGTACCACCGCTCAGTCGAATTTAAGCCAACATCCCATCCCACTGTATAATACACATATAAACTTTCGCTTCAACGAAATTTTGTTTTGAAGAGAAAATTAATTTTTACATCAAATGATGGTGGTATTATTTTCAGCTCAATAAATTTCTTGTAACTCGTGATAAAAATTATCCCACAACTCAATCTTTACGAAGTATTGTCAATTTTTTTCAGAGTAAGTCCGTGTATTTCAAGACATTCATACTCATGGGATAAATTTCTTTCGTGATTTCTAATGAATCACTTTTATCTAACAATCTTATCAGATATTTTGAATCATATAGCTAGACGGAGAAATAATATTTAGAACAATAGATTATTAAACTACATTCACGTTTTAACTATAATTTCTAATCGTCTTCTTTATATAAAAAATAATTCCAAAATGTGAGAAATCGTTTACTTAGAAAAGATACCTTATAAATCATGTTGACTTCCAATAGGGATTTTTTTTGTCAACTTTTATTGGAAACCACACCTTGTAAATATAAGGAAGAAAGAACAAAAAAATACGCTTTTTTACATTTAAATCATGCTCAAAGTCTAATTTTAGAAAAAGTGAATAATACTGAATGTTAGTTACAACGAATTATAAAAGTTAATGAATTATTTTTAAATAACCAATAATTATAACCAGCCATCGACCAAAGTAATTTGAATTCTTAGTTACATAAGTATTTAATTTGCGTCTATCTTTTGAATAATCGTATTTTGATTCCCCATTACTTATTCACAAAAGCCTACTAACTGTGCCCTTTAGGGCGGTCGGATATTAATAAATCACAGTACTTTATAGATGGTTTTTATAATATATTACTTAGAGCAGACCCTAATGTGGCCTTTACCGTTTTTTACACCCATTGTCGTATGAATTTCGAATTTAATAGACATAAAAAATATAACGACCTATACATTAAAAGCTTATAATGCTATGAATCGCTTAATAACTTTTTGCAATATATTTTTGTTTCTACAGTTTAATAGCAAATCCTTTTTTTTACATTAAATGTATATTGTAATAGACTCTTAGTCAAAAGGAGATTAATATAATGCGATTTCTTTTATGTGAACCAAAAAAAACGATAGATTGTGGTGCTTTTTTAAGTATTTGTTATGTTATTACATATTATATTATCTATTGTTGAAAGAGAAGCTTAGACAATGGAGGTGAGCGTTTAACGCGTTACATAGGGTCCCTTTAAAACACCTGGGTCGCAAGTCCCAGGCACTGTTAAAGCTCCTCTCCCTGCAACGATGGACCCGTCACTCGCACGGTGAATACATTGAATGCTAAAAGGTTTCGTCTCATTGTAATTGCATTGTGTTTTAGGTTTAATGTTGTTTGGGACAATCGTGATGCAGAACACGGCGAGTTAACAGAATATAAAATGTACTACTTCTTGCAAGATGACAATATTTCTATAAAGGTAATGTACAATCATTTCTGTTTTCTCACTATCGGTTTGGAAACTTCACCACTGTAATACACGAATATTCACGAATAAAAAAATATAAATCATCTTTATTTTAAGTATTTAATCCTGATTAACCGTGTACAACAAAGTTTTAATCTATTTTTAAAACTAGAGAGTCCCTCTTTGCAATTTGCTTATAATTTTTAAAATTTCAATGAGAAACAAAGTTATGCAAGCTGCCTTGCAAACTCCAAACCTAAATTTAATTAACATTATAAACTTCAAGTAGTTGCTTGCAATATCAAGTGCAATACTTAACTCCATATACAATTTTTAATTATGTATTCAAGCTTTATCAAGTACATAAGTACTGCAATAAACAAATGACGATTTTGTATAGTAGGCTTAAACTTTAAATTCACAGCCGTACTGAAATAGAATCAGTTTAATATCAATTCACTCTTTATTTGATTGGAAATGATAGAGTAATTCTATAAAACTAAATTGATATTAATACTGAACAATGACACTGTATTTTCCCTTATACATTTCTATCGTAAAACAAACACAGACAAACTATAATTGTTGATGCTTTTTAGAAACTGTTGTACTTGTAACTTGAGATTTATTTTATATTATAAATATATAATTTGACAAAAATAACAGGAGCTTCATGATGGAAGAGGTGGCAAAGATCCGTTCCCACTTCTACTCAAGAAGAGAAAACTACCCAAGAAATGGAAAGAGAGACCAGGTGATTACGTAACAACAGCTACATTTTTAATATCATCGACGTAAAATTTCCATAAACGTTCATAAAGTAGATAAATGTTCAATTAAATTTTAAGTTTTCATTCGATGAATCATTTTAAGTGCGACATTATTTTGGGTTTCATAATAGTCGTAAAACATAATAATAAAACTCCTTTATTGCTGAAAGATTTAACGACAAGACAATCGTGAATATTTATAACGTTGGTTGATTTTTGAAATTATATTTTGCTATGAAAATGTATTGTCTGAACAATGAATATTAATATTAATGTGAGTAATTCTTCTTAATTAAATTTGTTATATATATTCGGTTATATGGAAGATGTATTGTTATAAATTATGTATTTAAATGTTCTATCTCAATGATACCATAATTAAAAAACATACTTTTTATATAATTCTTCTACCTGGCAATTTCCCGGCTATAGCCAGGGTCTGCCTTGCATGTTATGTTGTGAGTAATTTTGGCTAATTGTTTTTACGACCGGCCGTCTGCCTGACATCAACCCTCTATTGAGAATCAGAATTAATCAGTGATCTAAACATTCTTAGAAAGTACATATGACTCGGAAAGATCACATTGGTACCTGCCCGGGCCAGGATCGAACCCGCGCCCTCGGCAACGAGAGGCGGGCCCTCTAACCATTAGGCCACCACTGACTGAATACTTTTTATACAGGGTGACTGGTGAATTACTATCAATATTTAAGGAGCATACTCGGTACATGATTCTCATTCGAATTATGTAAAAAAAATAGGTACTTAATTTTTGACCAAATTTCCGTATAAATAAATAAAGTGTGTACACGTTCCAAGTGTTCCACGTGTGGACGCGTACGGCGGCGTGCTGATACAACAACACGCCGCCGCGCGCGTATGTGTGAGTGTGTAGTGTAGAGTAATCTGTAGGGTGTTCATACGATGCGTAATTAATTACACAACTTTTGGTTAACTTTACTTAGAAGTTTATTAATATTTATGTTATATTAATTTTTATTTCGTCATATATGATCGTCAAATATCACGTCCTCAAATATCGATAGTAATTCACCAGTCACCCTGTATAATTATAAGTCTAAAATTATACATTTCGTCATCAGCCTATCAGAGCCCACTGCTGAGCATAGGCCTCTTTCTCACATGGAGAAGGTTTGAGCATTAATCACCATGCTTGCTCAAGACGGGTTGTTGATTTCAAACTTATAATTGTGAAATTATAAGTACAGGTTTCCTCACAATGTTTTCCTTCACCGTCTGGCAGTGGTGTCGAAATACTCTTAGAAAGAACATATGACTCGGAAAATTCACATTGGTACTTGCTAGGATCGAACCCGCGCCCTCATGCATGGGAGGCGGGCCCTTTATCCACTAGGCCACAATTGACATCATAAAATATAACATATAAAATCAACATTTATATTAATCAAAACAATGTTACATAGATTTTGCTAAATTAAATTCATCTCAATACTTGTGTTCTTTAGAGCGTGTTAATTTGAACGCAATGCTACTCGTACAATGAAATGCTATTTGAATGGTATGCGTAAAATGGAATTGCACATTGTAACAAAATTGGATGTGTTAGTATTTGTAAATGGTCTTTAGGAAAAATAAAATTGTTATTTCTATTTGTATTTAGATTTTTTAGCCTTTAACGTTTTTGATTTGTGTAAAAAAATACGGCGGGATTGATAAGTTTGACACATATAAATAAAGTGATTGTTATTGAAGTATATGATTTTCAAATAGTTCATTATTATTTAGTAATTTTATATGCCTTAATTGCAAAAGAAAAATTGTTTTAATTCTGTGTGAAAGCGCCAACTTCTAGTCGTACTAATATTTGCAATTCATAGAATTGGTACTTAATTATAGAACAAGACTAAATAATTTTAAGCTAATTTTGTTTGTTAATTATTTTATAAACTCGCATATGAAACTGCTATAATATATGCTACACAAAAAAATAAGCAAATATATGAGCTGCTAGGATTTATCTAGTATTTGTTCAAAAAGCTGTTTGTTTTTTTATATGCGACGTCGTTTTATTCATATTTATTTTTGTGTGAAGCAAAAGCTGAAAGGATGAAATCTGTCACATGGAAAATGAAAATGTTTTTACCATAGTCAATCTAGCTTCAAAAAAAATGTCAATGTAATAAAAAAATAGCTGTCGTTCTGTCATGAATATGTTTAATATTTTAAATTCATTTTATATATCATCTGTACTGCATTTAAGTATGATGCTGAGATTTTATATTAAAGGTTTAGGTTTTCTTATTGTGTATAATGATTTTGAAAAAGGTTTAAAATATTTCTAGTCGATTACAAATACAGCTTCAGTAATGAAGTCTGTTTAAAATGTGTCGCAATTATTTTTGTATAAAAACACCCATTTATCCATGAAACTATTTTGTCTTTTGAAACATTCTCTTCACAACTTGTTGTTAGATCATTTCGTTCCAATCCTCTAAACTCGTCAAAAAAATATTTTTTTACGATCTTAAAAAGTTCAACTGTCATTTTATTTTCAATTTTAGCCTAGTAATTTTCAGGCCCTCTTGGATTTCGTTGTTAGAACTATTAATGTGTTATTATTTGCCAAAAACTAGCCTAGCGAATATATTGACACAATTGGCACATAATACTCCTTATTTACTCTTCTTCCTGGTAGAAGAAACCCATGGTACACTACGCTCTTTTAATTGTAGAAAATTGTACATTCGATCTCAACTGATTTAAATGAAACTAATATTTTTCGGGTATACTACGAGTTTATATCCGAAAGTTTTCATTTAAATAAATGGAACTCGCCAAAGTCTAAAATCTCATTCGATCTCAATTGGTATGCTTGTCAGTGACGAATTGTGACGAAAAGTGACGTGAAGCAGATTCCATTGATATGCTATGGTTTACACGTCCTAACTATAATCTTTTGCCAATTATGATCCTCTGGACAAAGTCGAGGGATTGCCAGAGTCTATCACGTCATCAGCAATGTTAATGCGATGCAGTTTTTAGCCGAAAATTACTAAATTTGTCAGGATCATTACAGCAAATCTTATCATAACCAAACATTGGGAAAAGTTCTATATAACTTAAATTGCCAATTTAGGTTTATGGCATAGAGGTACTTACCTAACACATTGATATAGTCCGTTAGACTTAAGCTGAGATTTGCATTTGTGTGAGTGGATGTAAAAGTAGAGTTAGACCAAAAACTTTTACAATTCAATTGTATTATATTTTAAATAGATACCTAACAGAGCCAGAGCTTTTCTAGTTTAAAAATAAATAAGCAAAACTTTTGAAAAGCGAAATGAAAATTTTATAATTTTTTTTTATTAAGTAATAAAAATTTTGAAAAAACAATACAAATTTTTCTTCACTTGACATTGCGTTTTCAACATTTGTCGTTGCTACCAGTACAAAGGGTGAAGCTGTGGGGCGAAGAAAAAGCAGAAAAAACCGGTTCAAAACTAGAAAAGAACGTGGCATTCATAAATTTGACATCACACCTACACTATCCGTCTGCACTCACACAAATGCAAAGCTCAGCTTAAATCAAAAGCACTGTACCCACATCATACCTCAAAATATAAAAAAAAACAATATACGAAACGAACAGAAAACAAATGATCATGATCCTTTTAAACAGATTTATACAATTTTTTTTTCTATGATCCAAATACATATATAAAATGTGTTCATTTTTGATCGAGACTAATGCATTGTAATCAAATATTCAACTAATCCAACCGTTATATTTTATTCAGTGTCATTCCCGTCCATTGCCTTGGAAATAACTGACGAGGAGGTTACCGAGTACTATTCTCCTAGAGATCTGATCGTGGGGGAGACTATCTTCGTGCTGGGACGTCGATTCCTCATATTTGACTGCGACGCGTTTACTAGGAAATATTACAAGTTGGTAGCTTCGAGATTATGCAAAACTTCGCGCCGCTAGCTAGCTAATCCGGGCTTAGTGAACGCTTCCCGAACTCATGTAAATCTTAAATATAAGGATTTACATGTATATATATATATGTATGTATATTACGTATAGATGTTTATTGAAATAACATTTAACTAAATAGTGAAAGAGTTTCATTAATTTAAAATATAAGCAATAATAGATTGACCTGTATATACACCATATTAGTAGATTTTATCTTTTTTCGTACTTTCAACGAGACGTATATGTGTATAACCAAATATTACAATTCGTCATGCATTTTAATCCTCAAAAATGAGACTCGATTGTAATTAAATTAAATATTATAATATACTTAGAATTGTCAAAAATATTTAAAAGATTTTAATCAAGACTGATTCACGTTTTATTGCAGCTCTTCTTTCTTTCTTTTTTTTTATTCATTCTCAGCGCCCCGGCTCAAAGCTAAGACCATTATTTTCTCCCTCATAATCCTTCAGAGCGTTGTTATCTCGATGGCCGGTAAAAAATATTATCTTGCAAGCAACACGACGATTTTTATTAATAGAAGCAACGTTGGTAAAATTCTTAGTTTTAAACAAAACAAATCTCATTTCCTGTTATAGATTACATTTTCCATATCGCGAATGTTCAGTTTTACGCTATATTGAAAGTCAATTCCCCGTAGACAACATGAAATGGTTTACACAGAACATTTCCATGCTTTTAAACGTATAAAAGCAAGACAACAGTTCGTTTCTGTTGTTGTCGCATGCTTTAATACTATTTTATTAACACGTGACGTGTTTCCAAGGTCCATGCTCAACATAGAACAACCACCGCCGATTGAGGTTCGTCACGATACCAAGAAAGAATTCCCTAAGGTGAGTGCATTTACTGCTATTTATTCATATTATTAACATTATATTTTTGGTTTTCTTTTACATTATTATAATGATTCAATAAAAATACTTACGATTTAAAAGTTTATAAACGATTTTATTACTAATTAGATGTAGGATTTGAACAATATATTGTTGATTATCGAAAATGCTAGTAGTGGTTATATATGTACATATGTATATATCTCAGAGTGTTCCACCTCATATCGGCATCGGCGCCCCTGAAGACACATTGCAATCATGTTTCGGCCTGATCCCGAAGCCGCCTCACAAAGACATCATCAAGTACAATCTAAATGCTAACAAGGTATGGTATATATATGTAGTACTAGAAGACCCGGCGAACTTCGTTTCGCCCTATAATCAAGAAATATCTGTTACGTTTTTTTATTTATATTTTTGGAGTTTACCTATTAAAGCCATAAATCTCCGTGTTTTGAAGTGATTAGGAATGATTAATAGTTAATATGAGAGTTACACTGAGCTAGCAAAATAATAATTGTCAACGTTACTACTACACTTGATGCACAAACAATAACGATGGCCGACAACTGTGTAGGGAGTGAGAGAAGTCTAATTGTGTGAGAGAAACAGAAGACCGGCTTCGTTCTCATCCCTACTCCGTGCTGTTTACTGGGTCAGAAGTGACACCTGTAGATATCTGGCGGGGATAACTTATTAAATGACGATTGATCAGTTATCGACCGGAGATGAAAAATGATTAAATTACTAAAATAGCTATTAAAAAATAAGGGTTGATCGTAGAAGGGTGAAAATTTAGGATTGTATGTATTTTTGTACGTTGTATCATAAAAAAATAGTAATTAAAAATTTTGTCTAAAAAATAAAAAAAAAAAATTTAGGGGTGGACTACCCCTAACATTTAGGGGGATGAAAAATAGATGTTGGCCGATTCTCATAGCTACCGAATAAGCACAAAAAATTTCATCAAAATCGGTCAGGTTGTTTCGGAGGAGTATGGGCACGAAAACTGTGACACGAGAATTTTATATATTAGAGAAGAGATAACACACCTTTAACTTACAATAATAACCACACTAGTTGGATCTTTTACACAAATACCTATCATACTTCCATATGTCTTTTAAGAGAGGTAAAATAACTTTTCATTTCCAATCAAGTCATATAAAAAAAATAAATGACAATATTTTTTTTATAACATAAACACCGAATAGGCAATAGTGCCTTTTATAAAATAAATACCTAATAAGCAATAGTCCCTTTTGGTTTACATAAATTGATAGTTCCTATATAAAAGGGCCAATGTGTAAAATGACAATTTCTCAGTAGAGGCGTTTAAAGTTTGATTTCAATGTATCTTTTACATGCGACAACTGATGCTTTTGAAACTTTGCACAGCAACTATGACATACATGTACGTCATTTAAGCTTGATATACTCTTTTGTAAGCCTAGTAGTTTTTTTTAAGCCTTTATACGTTAAAAAGTGTGTTACTTATGCCCTTTTACTGCAATAAAAGCTAAGTCTTTGCTCCAACAAATACTAGTCCGAGAGCCAGGTGAAAATTTGGTCAATTATTTCCTCTCGATAGATAATTGGCGATAGGCATCAGACAATAGTATCATAAAGCCCTACGACCGTCAGCTGCGGCACAGTGGGGGGGATGAGCAGTTGTAACCTCCCACGCTTGAAGAAAAAAAAAATACATTCACTCATTCCCTCTCGGCTAAAAATTTATCAAGTTATAGCTAACCCAATACCTCAACAAAAAAAAAAATCAGCTGGCTATAACATGGTGCATTGTACGTCAGCTGATGTCTAGATCATGGAAAAAAAAATCTTCACTTTCAGTGATATCCTCTCAAATAAAAATTTACTTGATGATAGCTAATATGTAACTATTGATAAATATATACGTCAGCTGGCTGTATCTCGGTGGAAAAATTGTCAGCTGATACTTTAAAGGTCGTTACGTAGAAGTTAGCCAGAAGCATTTACTGACTATTTAAAGGCATCAGCTGACCAGGTTTCCCTCGATTTACTGCTAGCTGATTTTTTTTATTTATCACAGTATTATATTTAAAATCAGCTCACAAATTTTTGTGTGGGAGGAAATGACGTATCTTTAATTATTCGGCATTGCACTCCAATATGAGTGTTGAGGTGAAACAAATATTCCGTATCAATATTTTTCAAACTTATGCGTATATAATCATATAATTTTGGATACATTCCAATATTTCAATAATCATTTTGTATAAATTAGTATCTCACCAAAAACATGCCTGTTAAAAAGGGGGCCAAGTTCCAATCGGCTAATTGTTTGCCTAAAAAAGGGGTGAAATCCAATCTAATGCCAAGTTTAGATGCACTTTGAAATCGATCATAATCATCTTCATCAACAGCATGATCCACTGGTAAACATTTGCCATTCCCAAGACTCGTCACCACACCCAGTCCTCTGCCTTCCACATCCAGCCACTACCCGCCACCTTATTCACGTCAACGGTCCATCTGGCCGAAATTCACTTTACCATACACCCAACTTAAAATATGGTATAGTTGTGAAAATACGTAGGTGCTTGGTTAAAAATATCTAAAATTATAATACTTCTAAATTTGAACTTGGCAGGTTAATTTAATTATTTAAATTATATAAATACAAATAATTAATTATATAACTAAATAATAAATTAATGATACAATTAATTAAGTGTTACGTACAGCACAAAAACCTGCCAAGTTGATGATTATGATCGATTTCAAAGTTGATGATTATGATGATTATGATCGATTTCAAAGTGCATCTAAACTTGGCATTAGATTGGATTTCACCCCTTTTTTAGGCAAACAATTAGCCGATTGGAACTTGGCCCCCTTTTTAACAGGCATGTTTTTGGTGAGATACTAATTTATACAAAATGATTATTGAAATATTGGAATGTATCCAAAATTATATGATTATATACGCATAAGTTTGAAAAATATTGATACGGAATATTTGTTTCACCTCAACACTCATATTGGAGTGCAATGCCGAATAATTAAAGATACGTCATTTCCTCCCACACAAAAATTTGTGAGCTGATTTTAAATATAATACTGTGATAAATAAAAAAAATCAGCTAGCAGTAAATCGAGGGAAACCTGGTCAGCTGATGCCTTTAAATAGTCAGTAAATGCTTCTGGCTAACTTCTACGTAACGACCTTTAAAGTATCAGCTGACAATTTTTCCACCGAGATACAGCCAAGGTAAGGCCAGGTAAGCCAAGGTAAGGTGATTAATGTAAGGTTCTATTACATATTTTTTATTATATTAATCTAATATTGTAATATTAAACGGACATACATATATAAAAATAGTATCTATTATTATTATTTCTAGATAAAACATTAAGTTTATTCTTGGTTTTAAATGTTGTGCAAGCTTCAGTCCGCGTAATACTCATTGATTATGAAATTAAGTTGAGGAAAACGAATAATTTTTTACTTTATAAAAAATATCTTAATAAACTGTCAAAGTCATCTACGGAATGTCACTTGACTTTGTATATACAAGATTTATGTCATTTTCCATTCTCATAAACATGTAGTAATATTAAAATAATAAAGCATTGTTTCCATTTTAAAACATTTCTCATATGTGTAACAAGCATCTGTTACATTTAGCATAATAAACATGTCTGAGAGTGCACAATTCTGTTACTGCATTATTATGTCAGAATACAAAATTATGGGTTTTGGTTATCCAAATTATACGAAATATTTATATTTTAACTACAATGACGAAATACTGTATATAATAGTAGGGGAGCCCACGATGCTAAATGGGGATTTACTCGAGCGTCGTAGAGACCTATTGGGATGCAAAGCTTAGATGATAAGAAGAAAAAAATGTTATATGATATATACTTTTACATCGGGGGGGGGGAAGCGGCTATAGATTTTTAAATATGTAAAAAAAAACTGTTGCATGGACATCCTCGAGCGCGTCAGATATTGATAGCATCAATGCCCTACGTATTTTTGAAAATGAAAAAAAAAAAATTTGTCGAGCGCGTCAGATTTTCTAAGGGAGTGTTAAGTGCACCAAAAAAAAGCTCTCATTCACTAATCTGACGATTTCGATGGGACGCAAACTCGCGGCCATTTTCATAATGTGCAAAAAAAAATCGCCATTTTGAAATACTCAAGCGCGTCAGATTAAGATATATATGGTTAATATTTATGTTTTATACGTACTGTCTCATAATCTGACGATTTTGTAGAGGGGTTCGCCTAATCTGAAAAAAAATAATAGAAAAACGGTTCACCTTAAAGGCCATCCCTGCAACTTCTCGCTAATTCCATTCCTGGGCGCTTAAAATTGTACTTATGACATTTTTGAGCTCAAAATATAATTTATGTGATATTTTGAGCTCGCTGAGTTCAAAAAAATAATATTTCTATGCATTTGAGCTCTCCCAGCTCAAAAGTCTGACAGAAGTTTCATAGAACACTATTTTTGGAATTTTCAAACCGCAATAACTTTTGAAAGGATCAACGGATTTTCACACGGTTGGCGGCATTCGACGCAGTTTTATCATCCTCATAAGTAATTTTACAATTAAACAATTTAATTAACAGAAACCAGAGTGGGATCGGAGTGAGAGAGTAATAGATAGAGAAAGAGTGAGAGAGGAATAGAAACGCGGAGAAGGAAATGTAGGCATCACGCAGCTGCAAGCATTTAACTTTATCGACGAATTTTTGTTATTTCGGCTTGTGGAAATCGTCAGATTATATATTTTTCATTATTCTTGAATTATTTCCTTCAAAATAAAAAAAAATCAGCTACGCTCGAGATTGTCGAGATGACGATTTTTTTTTACAACTTTGTTGCCCTCCCCTTTTTTTTCGTCACTCTCAAATTGACAGATTAGTGGAATATACACTTTTTAGGGTGTAATAAACTCACCCTACCTTAATCTGACTCGCTCGAGAATTTCTGATGGTCAATTTTTTTTTACTAATCTGATCCCTTATCCTTCACGGGCGGCTTTACATATGGGCCTCATGTTTTGTGGAGGTACTTAACTGGGTACAAGGTATCCCCCTGTATATTAATCTGCCGCGCTTTAGTAAATCCCGAAATCCCCTCTTGGGCTCCCCTACTATAAAGTTGTATAGATTTATGGAAATATAAAAAGTATAATTTATTAATGGGTTTATGTATAAAATATGTAGTTATTTACTTTGTTTTTATTAAAATAAAATTATTTGTATGTATTATTTTGTTTTAGATTAAAATCATCAATCCCATCTCAATTAATTAAGGAATTATAACAATAATTTTGCTGTTATATTATTCATACAAGTACTTCTAGGTTTCCTTTAAATATCATCAAAGGGTAGTAGGGAACAAATAAGCCTTATTATTGTTACGTCCTGTTAATAAGTTAAATTTAAAAACGTACCTACATACTCTTTTTAATAATTATTTATGCTGACATAACAAGGTGTTGTCATTAAATGATTTATAACAATTTAATGTTTACAATAAGTATCTAATTTGATTTTATAAATCTTCGTTTTAAGAATCACTTTAGACATTACGTAGTCATCGGTTAATACGAAAATACCCGATTATTGTCGAATGAACGAATATTTCAACTGTCAATGTCATAATTGACATTGAAAAGTTTTAATTAACCCTATTTTTCAGTCTAACAATTTTGTGGACTTGAATGCCACAGATTACCGTAATTCTAGATACCTTATGCACTTTGAGTAAATGCTATTGTCTATTGATTATTAATATTGAGTCTGGCATCTAGCGTAAATTGACAGATAATTACAAACAATCGCTAGCTGTATACGAGCCGTCAGATTAAGTTACTAAATGTATAAGGAGATATTTCAAAAATTCTAACTTTTTGATCATGTCACTTGAAATCGGAAGGCTTGCCAGTGTTATAAATGAATGCTATACTGTGATTTTTTGAGAGCGCTAGATTATTTTGTGTGTGCGATAAAGCAAAATATTGAAATTTATTTTTCCAATCCAGTTCATGTTATACATTTTGTCTATCTTCATTTAAGCACCGACTGCGCCAATTTTTGATTGATTATTTTTAATGCTTTTTACCCAATAAATCCTTGATACTGTAATAAGTATGTTTATTTCGTATACGGAAACTCGGAACGAACACACAATTTTTTTCCATCCGTGCTATTATATCCAAATCAAAGACAATTTTTATCTTTCAGAATAAAATATCTAATATAGGTAAATATTTATTTTTAGCTACCCTCATTTCAGTATCATGAATAAAATTTTTCATGAAAATGTAATGAGTTTTTTAAGCATGGCTTGAAACCGATTCTGAACTTATTTCTTTATATTTTCCATTCTCCTAATGGCCATCCCTATAAAATCAGATGCACTAGATTTCCGCGTAATCACTTTTTTACATTTTAATGTCTTCGCAAATCACCCAACTATTTAGAGGAGAAAAATCACAACATTATATTTGGTGCAAAAAATATACTTAAAAAACTAATAGGCGATAACGCTCAAGAAAATTAATATAAGCACTTTAGACAGTGGGATTGAATTTTTGCACAGTTTTGAAATTTTGATACTACACTATAAAAACTGTCCAATAATTAATTCCCGAATAGTCCCGAATAGATCTTCATGAATACTTACTTCTAGACTACTTATTATAACTCGGAACTGAAACCATTTATGACCATAATTATTAATTATCATTTCGTCTATCGGTTAGAGAAGTCTAAGAAGATCATCAATTTATTTATAATAATAATGATTCTACAAATGTTTTATAAACACAACAAGAAAAGCAGCATATTTTTTCAGAAAACAATTAACGGAACAAATTGTTTCTTGTCTCTGTTTTAATTTTTATTTTATTTACGAGCCCAGCGGCAGACGGGACTTGACATCTACTTGTGATGCATTACTCAAGTCTACTAGTAATTATTTCTTCCGTCAACATATTACTCGCCTTATTGAATTTTAAATGCAAATAATACATTTCTCTTATTGTTATATTAAAAGAGTTTTTATATTTTACAAAAGTAAAGGATTTCTTTTATTTGAAGAATGGGACTGATATTATGTTTAAAATTCGTTATTTGCTGTACTAAAAATATATAGGCGTGTGCACTCCTTTTTCAATACTCCTAAAAACTGTAAAATTCCTAGCATAAATATTGCAGAAGCAAGCGTCGTGGAACTAAAGTTTTGGTAAAAATATCACCGCATTATCTTTACATCAAATCAATTTAAAATGACAAATGGTCATTGAAAAAAAAATCATTCACCTATTAGTCACCTTTTACTTTATGAAAGTAAGAGGTATTATTAGTAAAATTCTTGATTTTATAAATAAATAGAAGTGTATAGCTTTATTTTTGGGTTTTAGTTGCTAATAAAAATTATAGCCAATCAAATTTTACATGAAGTGATTATGTTACTGAAATCCTAACAAATAGCATTTTATAATGTTAATACAGGATTTAAAAGAGCTTGGTCATAATTTAAGATTAATATCTCGGTTGCCTTGCGAGACGTCATTAACATATTCCTGTATAATTAAAGCATGTAATGGTAAGGTTAATTTGTGCTCAATCACAGTCAACATTGGCTATTAGGTTTAATCTTGTTAGCTGTTACGGATTTTATCAATTACTGTTGTAATAATATACCAGTAACGTGAAATTGATGTTAGTTTTCTAACGAGGACGATGTTCAATTTATATATAACATATTAATTGTTATAACAAATATATAAAAGAAATATGATACGAATTTTTGTTTGTTATTTTTGTGTATCTTTATTGTGTTATTCCAATACGAAGTTTTAAATTAATGTGCGTGATAAAACTTGTTCTAATACAACGTAGAGATATAAAAAATTATAGGGCCCATAATAATATCATGCTTTAACTGTCGCACTGATTAGGCGTTCCAAAAGATTGCTATGTGACGTATAACTCTATTTCTGAGTTCATTAAACACAAATTGGATCCTAAATAAGCGAAATAACAATTACATGGCCTATAAACATACGAAATTTTGTATGTCCTAAATATAGATCTACTTATATTTAATTTTTTTTTGTTCAGTACCTCAGATATCTTTGCGAATTGGATTGGATACACCCAGAAGATAATGGTCGTCAGTTCGTGATGGCTTACAGCCTTGCTGACGGTACACTCAAGATAGGTGAAATACCCCGTCGTAACTCTGGCATACGTGAGGGGAAGTTCCTAAAGGCTATGCGTCTTCAGACACCTGAATCCGATCCCAACTTTCCAACGTACTTCACGCCAGATCGATTTTATATCGGTGAGTAGATGATTTTATATCTGATATCAAAAAAGAATTGCACATAACATAAGTTTTCTATAACTTTGACTGTAAGTCTGTAACATTGTTGAAATGTTCATCTTTGAACTGTACATTTTAACTCTAGATATTAAGCGACTAATATTGGTTTTCAACCCCCATAAAAGAAGATATTCTACAAGTATGACTAACATTGGGAAAGTTTCTTTGCCCATTGTACTTAGTTACATGTATTAAAAGTTTGCATCATCAGTATTTAAACCAGTTTTCATCATGACACTATAGTATTATTAATTGGTTATGCATATATCTTCATATGTTAAACTTATAGAACAAGAAACGCGAAACGCTATGTATGTAGTCAGATCATTTAAACTTGTACTTAGCATAACGTTCTTTGTATGTATGTGGCTTTGTGAATGTAAAACTGACTTTTATTACCTTTTATCATGAAACAAGATTGTATTCTTTTTCAAACTTAAATCCAAGATAATTCTCCAGTATGAACTATAACAATAAATTTAAACGTAAGCGTTTATATAAATTGGAAAATTTATATTTTGTATGTGTGTGAGTAATTTGGCTAAATAAGAAGCCACGTATTTTTGTCTTAACCAATTTAATTGCAACGACGACACATTTTTTAATATTCTTAAACTCTTTAACCTAAGATGAGACAAAAAAAAATAGACGATACTAAGAGACAAAAAAAATATACGCTTTCTTTATTATGACTCGGAGGGTTTATTTCTTGTAAGCTTGTATTTTTAATTAGGTAAGTAGTAGAATTGTGTCCGAAGAAGAAGGAAAAATCGTCCTGTTACAATAAGACATTAATATTTATAATTTGAATATAAAAATGCAGTTGCGTATAATAATTTTTCTGAATCTCTCCATTCATATTAAAAAAATTCACTGTAAAACTACCATAATTTGAAATATAATAAACTTCTTTTTAATATGTCCTCATATCTAAAATTCATTGTTATTTTAAATTCAATTTTAAAATAATCTAAAGTTCAAAGAGCAGGTACCTAGTTCAACTCATACCCAAATTTTTGTTTATTTAAAAAAAAAATTAACTTCATATATTAAACGTCTATATGCGTATATGCACTTTAATGAAACAACCAAAAATGTCTTAATTTAAGTAATTTCATCCATTAATCTTCATATTTTTATGGGAAATTAAACTAGTTAAGTTTGATTTTATTGATGGGGTGTGTTTATTTTATCTAGCCTTTTATATCTATTAAACGTGACGTATTGAAAAAATTTGAGCTACTCATTATGTGTAGTCTCATTTGATACACTAAAACACTGTTTAATTAACACTTACTTTATTTATATAAAACTAACAAGATGTAAAAGCGGATAACGAAATAAACGTTCACATATCTTAGATTAGTAATACATTTGTTGTAACATTAAGATAATCCCATAGGAGCAATAGTGCCGGTTTTCAAGCATCGCTTCAAGATAGTCGGTTGCGATCTATACGTGTATCGTTATATGAGCGCCAATCCTGAGAAGTTCCCACAGGAGGTCATAGATAACGTGAGGAACTACCACATGAGGGAGGGCAACCTAAAGGACGAACTGGCGGTGAGATATCAATTCTATTTGTAGAGAGTTCTTTATTAGAAAGCATAGGACGTACTGCTAAACTATTATCATTATCTTGGGTTCTATTATAAGAACATAACATTACATGTACGTAGAATACATTTACACTTATAGTTGCCACGGATAGTTACTGTGAAGTTTTTTTTATGTAGTTCTATAAAATTTTATATAAAAATTAATAGTCCGAATAACTAAAACAGTTTCTTAGGTATATTGTATTACATAAAAAACCAATCAACACTACGTAAACTGTGTTTTCCATACTTGTGAACTGTAGCATAATCTAGTTGTTCTTCAATATACCTATAGTGATGTTGTTCCCGTACTCGTTAAAGTTCTATCACAACGTCTCATAATACTTAACGTACGAAGCACCTACTCACATGATTGTATCGACAATAACTATTTTAGTTTATAAGATTCATTCATAAAGGCTGTTACTAGTCTATTACTATTATTATTATAGTAGACTAGTCTATTGACAAAGATTTATTAAGGAATAAAAATAAACTGGAATAATAGGTTTAAAATAAAACGATGCTAACTTGTGCAGTGATAAAAAAAAATCTAATTTAAGTCAATATTTAATATGTACTGAACCTCTTCTTTATACATAATAAAACTTCTACATATGTGTATATGTATATATCTTTTATGATGTTCTATGATATGATATGTCTTCTATTCTATACTTCTAGGAGGCAATCCGTGACGAACAAGCTGCCGAGACGAGAGCACAGCTTGCTAAGATCGGTCAGGCGGCGGTGGCTGAGCCGAGCGCTATGGAACGATGTCTGACCGCCCTTAACGTGGTCGAAGGCAGCGCCACACCGCCCAGACCGCCCACGCCGCCCATGACCACGGACAGACTGCCTTACGAAGAGTCATTGAGGATTAATAGATTGAGGTGAGGCTATGATGAAAATACTGTATGTAGAATTAAATAATATTTATATAATACATTTCGATTAAATTTTTTATACTGAAGCTGCTATACACTAACTAACAACAAAAAAAAGAATTTCTTTTAGTCTTTAGTTTGTTTCTCGATATTTGGAGTTAATAAATATAAACATTTACAGCAAACCGACATGCGACAACATAGTTCCACTGAAAGGGATTCTCAAGTCAGGGGCTGCTAAGGATGATCATCAGAAGGTGGTTTGCTTCAGCGGGCCGGAGGTTGAGAGCCGGGAGCCAGCCCACCCGACGACCTACCCGCCTGGACAACAACCACACTTTGACGAAGATCCAGACTTCTGTCATAAATACAAGGATGCGGTATGTATTATACGTAAAAACTCTCAATAAAATCAATCATAGTTTGCTAATTATAATGTATTAAAATTATGATGCATGTTTGTGTGTGCGTGTTGAAATATTAGCAGATTAAATTGATGTGAAATATTAAAAAATATTACGAAGATTGTAGGTTACGACAGCTATCAAATACTTAAATGAAATTTCTAATCACAAAATATATATTTTCAACAGATTTGCTATAAGTTAAGTATATACATAAGTATTATAATGCTATAAGTTCAATCCAATTTTATTGGACTATAAGATCTATATTCTGTTTGAAGACTTAGTTGTCTCTCATTAATGTTTTAAATAAATATTTAATTTTAAACCTATTTATTTATCTCTAGGATGCCGATGATCGTGCTGAGCGTCGTGCTAAAGACATCTGTCCATATGAACTTATACCGAGCAAACAAGTACAAAACCAGGCTGGAGACGAGGTGGTCGTTAAAACGAAGCTTCCTGGGTACCTCGGAACTTACGATGTTGATTGCAAGGAGGTGATTACCTTTTTTATTAATATTTTGATAAATGTGGCCTAGGTTCTAAAATAACATACATATAATAGATAGCAATTGATTCCTCTACAGTGTCTATAAGAAAAATTTTGTTCTTGTGACTTTCACTTACATTTTTTAATCAAATAGATCATGAATTTAATTACCGCCCCTTGTCCCTTTATTTCAAATCGTACGTGTTTGAGACTACGTTATACCAACATTTTGAATGTCACGTTTCTTTTTTTCTACCTGTAAAACTTACCTGCAATTTTATTAAATAATTATGATATTTTCTCCATGCAGGCACCTGAATACATGCGCCTACCCAGCGACGCGTACGAGAAGATCAAGCATATGCGTCGCGATGTGCCTGCGATATCTCCTCAGGCGCTTCGTATGTCCAAGTTCCCTCCAGAAGAAATGCCTCCAATAGATACCTGTGTGAATCCTCCCCCAGAACCTCAAGGTCCGTGTGCAGTCACTAAGGAAGACGTATCCTTCTCATGTCCGCGAGTAGAACCCGGACTGCCCTGTTGTGATCCCGACAAACGCGAACAAAATTGATATAGAATAGATTCTGATTATTTATTGAATTTTAAATAAACTATGCCAAAATTACTGACGTGTTTACCTTAGAGTTCTTTTCAAATTAATCATGAATAGACGGAGGGATAATCGAGATTTTTTTTGCAAAACAATGGCAAAAAATCCTTTTTCTTTTTTGGAAAGCAATTTTTCATTTCCTTCCTACCAAAAATGTGAGTTAGAGGGATATTTGGGCCTAATTATAAATCCGGGGCTATCCCCAAAATCCCATCGCCTCAGTGGACCGCCACGAGGTCGCTTGTGCTTATACCGTAAGACGTTACGATAATATATCCAATGTTTAATTATTGAAATATGAGCGTTGTGGATAATAAAATAACTACACATTTTCTAACCGCTATTTGTTTTAGAATTTAGGGAGACCTTAGACGTGAAATTTTTTTTGGGTTAGATATAAAAGTAGATATAATTAACGATAAGATTGTCGTAAGAATAACATATAATAATATGATAACGTTTTCTATAGCTAGTTTTGCTTATTTTTGGACTGTTTAAATTAATTCAATTAAATTTCTATCCAACTTCACGTTTATTACTTACTGCACTCATTAACACAAACCATGTGGGAACAAATTCAGTGCATTCATGCAAAATGCAACCGGTTCAATTAAATAAAATGTCGCCCGTAAATAATATGTATTCGGTAATTATTTTTATATTATGGATTAATATACAACTCGTATACAATTTAATTATATTGGAGTCGGACGAAATTATAGTCACCAATTAATAATAAAATTTTCAACAGCAAATAACCAAAAAGAATGAATTAATTCATTAGTTATATGATTTATATGACGTATTAAATGAAACGAAATCTATTCAAACATCATTTATTTCATTGAAATGCATAAATACTTAATCATATATCCACAAATAGATAACAAGGCGTAGATTTTTGTACATTTTTATACCAAATATATTATAACAAGCGCGATCACGCTCAGAGTGACAAACATGCCACCGAAGAGGACGTATTTATCTTGAGAGACCCTTCTTTCTATGAGGGTGATGGTGGCGTTGGACAGACCCAGGGTATTCGCCAAGTCTATCATCCGCCTATGAGCGCCTTTCAATGTGTCACGATTGTACCTTAAAGTCTCTAGAATGCTTGTACCTATAAAAAAAGATACGTAAATTAAAAGTATATAAGTAAAGGAGAAGTATTAATCACGCTGAGAAATATTGTATCTGAATATAAAATAAAAAAGTATTTAAATGTCGAACTTTTAATTTTTTTTCTTTAATTTTTGTGTAAGTTAGTTTTTTTATAGTTAAACCATTGCAAATATATATTATTGTATGTAATTTTACTTTTTAGCTTATGAACTTAATTTTTTTATCTGATAAATAGTTTTATTAGCTGACGCTATCCAAATATTTTTTAGCCTTCAACCAGTAAAATACATATATTACTATTTTTTTCTATAAAATTAACCATAGTCAATTGTTTTTTTTTTGCTTCACAACAATAGCGTTAAGAAATTACCACCGTAATTAAATGTTACGGAATAATTAAAACAAATTAAAGTAATTAGTAATGTATAATATATAAAAAATATTATAAAACAATAGAAGTACTAATATTTCCGCTTAGGTAACATACCCTGGGTAATATTTGATATAGAGTTACCGTAACCAAATTAGGTCTAAGCTAGATAGGTGAGGTAAGGAATAAATGCAGTTAGGTCCTTGTTAGCCCGTGGGAATTTAATAAAATGTAGCTTTATAATGTCCAGAGTTTCCTCTAAAATTTTTCTACAGTAACGGTAAATAGATTTACTTGAATTTTATATATATTAGCTTAGTACTTTATTTAGATCTAGGCCTCACTCACGGCCCTTTACCACGATTATCAACATACCGACCTCTATGATTATGAGCAAGTACAACTACTTTAGACTGATGGATGAAAAAAAAAACTATTTTATGATCAGCCATAGAAACTAGTTATCGCAGGAAAAAAATAATTTTAACACACAAAAACAAAGATAATTTATTTTTTATCTAAGCCGAAATAAGGAGATTTTTTTAATACACAAAAAATATTTTAATATATCTATCAAAAGAACAGATATGATATAGAATTGTATATATCAAGATAATGTTGACAAAATATACAAAGTAATATAAAAAAAATCACGAAAACCAGGATCTTTATTGTTAATAAAAAATCACAGAAACCTGCAGAGGAACAAGTCATGCGGCCTCTAAAAAAACATTGATCAAAATGATAAGACGAATTAAATATACACGTTTAGAATTAATGCAGTAATTATAATAAAAAATATAAAAACCTTATTTACATATGTATATATAGAAATATATAAGTCTATAAAGCTATTCACAAGAAAAATAGCCAAAAACAATAGCCAAAAACTATTCACAACATGTAAGGCAGACCCTGGCTATAGCTGGGAAATTGCCAGGTAGAAGAAGAAGATATACGTCTATAAAGGCATTGCTAAATTTTTAAGCAAAACCTATCGTCGTTAACACTACCGGGAAATAAAAATCAATATGACATATTATGAATAATTTTTGTTTTTATTTTTGCCGCTAATAACAGGTTCCGTTATAAAATACACGTAGGATACAAAGTAGCATACTCTGAATGTTACCGTAAGTTTATTATGAGAGTTCGCAAGAGCATGTCATGTGGGAATAATTAAGATACGAAGAACACAATAAGTTGAGTGTGGTTTTTTCTTAAGAATATCTAATAAAGTTGTTCTGATGTTAGAATCGTTTCAGTTATGACGCGTTATACGTGACTAAGTACAAGTGTTGTGATATTTGTAATTCATTAAAACTTATTACTTCTGGTCTCCGGGAACTAATGTTACAGGGAATAATGTGGTGAGTATTATCTCTCATTATTAATTATGAATATTTTCATACAAAACATTTCACGAACGTGTTTGTACAAAATTTAAACGATTATATATACATATTATGATAAATAATTAAGATTATATATGTTTACCTTGATTAATTATTTATATAATACATAGTTTAGAAGAAGCAACTATGTTATCTTTTTAATATAAAATTTAATTAATATTGGAGATTTTAACCTAAAGGCATAGATGAAGAGTTTTAAATTCGGTGTGTGTATGTCTTTCTGTTCGTTACCAACAACTCCGTTTCAACCAAACCTAATATTGACTACAAACAATGTTTGCTGTCAAAGCTTTTCTAAAACCAAGATTGGACGTTTAATAACCTACTAGCCTCTGAGATTTAAAATTTAACCAATTTGAATGAGTATGAAAAGAAGCTTTAACTTGATGAATAAATTGAATGTGAAATAATAATTCATAAAAAAAACCTCATTCCAATGTCGTTTGGTTACAGCCAACATCGATATTACATTCACATTTGAGGTTTTATTACACGTTAATTATAGGATGAAAAAAACATGTAAATATTATGTTTATCTCATGATATTTCTTGTTTAATGTTTATTAAAATAATCGTAATTATAAGAAGACAAATTATAAATAGATTTAATTTCAAGACGACAACATTACCGGCGTCTTTATGAGTTTTTGTTTACTTTTTTATCAACAAAAAATGCCAACATTAAACAGTACATAGAAAACAGGTTATATATAATATATAAATAAATCTGTATTATATTTTCATATAAAGAACATATTATCCGTACATCCTTTGTAAAGAGAATTTGTGTATTCAACTTGTCATAACACTACAAGCATGTTGGATGCACTACAAATAAGTAGATTCCGATTTTGGCATGAACACGTACAAAGAGGTTTTAATGTGTCCATTCATTTTCAAAATATTTTTTTTCTTCAGCCCTTGTTTGGACTGTTTAAGAATATATACTGAAAACAATTACTAGTGAAAAAAAAATCTATATCAAAATTTTGCAACAAAATGATTGACAATTTAAAAAATGCAGTTTATTTTTTTGAAATATATTTGTTAAATGTATAAGGATAATACCATAAAAGGTGAAAAATTTATCACGACCTTTGCATCTTAAACATTTTACATAAATAAAATGTGTACATCATCAAGTTAAAGAGTTTCTAGGACTTTATACATTATATAGGAATTAAATTATAGATAAGGAAAATTAAACTACGACATTATTATGAGATTTATCTTTAAAACAAGCAACCACTAATAGTTTTTTTTTTTAATATAATTTTTTTTAAAAAAACGATTTATAAGGACCAATCCTATTTCCCGTTCAAAGCAAAAATCTACACAAAAATATAACATAAAAAGACAATTATAAAGTCCTTTTATATACATACAGTAAATTAATATTATATTTGTGAATTAAATACGATATACAGTACGTTTCATAGTTAAATATTCAAAGGGTGACAGTGAAGTATCTTCGACGTCATTTATAGGACTGACGTCAACGCTTCGAATACACAAAGAATAAGTTTTATTGGGAATTCCTACTTATATTATAAATGCGAAAGTAACTCTGTCTGTCTGTTACGCTTTCACGCATAAACCACTGAACTGATTTTAATGAAATTTGGTACAAATATAGAGCTGACCTTGAGAAAGAACATAGGATAGTTTTTATCCCAAACTTTTCAAAGATTCTCTTGGAACCGCGATATAACCGAACTCCACGCGGGCGAATCTGCGGGCGGAAAGCTAGTAACATATAAAATGTATAAACGAAGGTTTGGTTTACAATACACTCTTGTAGTGCTATTGTAATTAAATTTCCCATGTACATATATTCATAACTTTTATAAGCACTCACGATAATTAATTAAGAAATAATATTGCATAACTTATAAAAGAATTAAAATATTACCCACGTAGCGAGTTGATAATAAATTTCCGGGTATAGCAACATGTTATTGACATACCAGTTCCTATGAGTTTTTCATTGACCTTATATATTTTTTATAAATTTAAAAGTATTAAAATTCTTTTAAATATAAATCATCGACTTAATTTTGAGAGGAATAGTTCAAGCAACGAATTTTCTTAATTAAATAAACTTAACATATTTAAGTACAATTTTGCTCCATATTTTATTTAATAATATTGAAACCTATTAGTTCTTAGAACCAAAATATATTTCCAAAACCAAAATCTCAGCAAAATATTTTAATAATAATATTAAAGTTGTAATTTGTTGTTTTAAATTGTTCTGAACACGTCAAACTAGCCATATACCGATTAAAAGCCCAAACAGGTTTCTTAATGTGAAATATATTCCAACCATTTCGTATTAGTATTATGATTTTTATTTTATGCGTACATTTATATCCAGAGACATACCTACTTTATATTAAAACTTTTTTCATAAAAACCTGACCGAAACTAACTTTCATTTAAGAATCGAATTTGTTAGTTTTTTTTAGTCTAGAGTCTAGACTAACATAACAATCAACGGAATTATGTTAGTCTTTAAGAAAGCTAAGATTTTAAGCGTCAGAAACAATTTTAACACAAAAATAATACTGTCCTTGTTTAATATTTTATATGAAAAGCAACGCCATCTAGTGTTAAATATGATAAAAACGTTTATCTCAAAAAAAATTTAGGCGAAATTAGACAGAAAATCAAAATAAAGTAACTACGATACTCAAATTTGGTTCAATGATTTATCTTTCATCTACAGGGTGACTAGTGAATTACTATCGATAATTGAGGACGTGATATTTGACGATCATATATGACAAAATAAAAATTAATATAACATAAATATTAATAAACTTCTAAGTAAAGTTAACCAAAAGTTATGTAATTCATTACGCATCGTGTGAACACCCTACAGATTAGGTATACACACACACTCACACATACGCGTGCGCCGGCGTGGTGTTGTATCAGCACGCGTCCACACTTGGAACACTTGGAACGTGTCCTCACTTTATTCATTTATACGGAAATTTGGTCAAAAATTAAGTACCTATTTTTTTACATAATTCGAATGAGAATCATGTACCGAGTATTCTCCTTAAATATTGATAGTAACTCACCAGTCACCCTGTATATCTTCCCTAAAAGATATACCTTTAGATATCAAAAGGAAAGCTCTAGTATTTTCCTGTCAAATGATATGTCTGTTGTAACTCTATAACATATAAAACCTATGTGATTGCTTTATAGACGCCAGAATTGTATTGTCATAGCATAACACACCAATAGCTAACCGGTGGACAAACCCATTACTTTTTAAATCAAAACTATTGATACACTAATAAACTAGTCTTATATTGCTTTAGAGCTTTTAATAAAACAATGAATGTGTATGCTTTGCAGCTATAATAAGGCAGTGCAGTAATTTGACAAAGATGCAAAGTTTTTATTAGCATTTTCACATGATTCCGAATATTATTTTTAAAATTTAAATGACTTTCTAGAACATTCTAGACATCTAGATAAGATTATTTGGTGTACCAATAACAAAATTATATATGTTTCTTCTTATAACCATATTATCGGTGCAATGGAAAATTGTAATAATAAGTATTGACACTTATTATTGTGATTTATAATTACAAAATATAGAAATTTACCTCATAAATACTTTAAAAATTAGCATTTAATTTTTAATATACAATCATCCAACTAGTTCACCTACTGACCACTAGATGGCCTTTATGATAATTATAAATGAAGCCATACACACCTGTGTGCAACATTTCATCGACATTCCTATGTGAATTCTGCAGTGACGCCTGTTCTTGGCCCAAGTAGTCCACATTAATCTCTGTATGATCATGACCGAATCTACGACTCAACAATTGTTCCCTCTCAGCCTTTTCTTGTTCCCGCCTGTACCTTTTGTTTCGAGCATTGGTTAAAGATGCCTTTAAATTAATATAAAAAAAGGAATTGTTAGTAATATTTAAAAAATGAAGTGAGTAAAGACTGTTATCTAAAACAACTATGTATAGTATCTATCATATACAATTATATAATTATGAAAATTTTATTACTTTGATACCTTCTATAGCTACTTTTAAGTTATATTTTAAGTCATACAATAATGTACTTGGGTGCCATCAATTGGTTTATCCAGGAGTATGTAATGGACAGATTTTATTGCTTAATAAAAGTGATGCAAGAATAGCAATTCTGTTATAAATTATGTAATATTTTATATACAGATGTATAATTTTAATAAATCTTAAATTATAGAATCGTTACTCTAAGGGCAGCAAGTGAATTACGTTTACTATGAATACATGTATATATATTATAAAATTTGCCATTTTCTAAATCCCAAACCAACATGTAAAACTTTGCAAATTACTTTATAAATTCACTTTATTGCTACTGTTTTTTTACCTGTATATGTGTATTGTCATATTTCAATTGGTCAACTCTCATCTTTGCCATAGGCCTTTGATTTATAGGTGTCTTGAAAAGGAGTACATCTAATTTTTCACAGTTTCTACAAAAAAATATAATAATTAAATATCATATGACAATTAGCAACAATATGTTACTTGATTCTTAATGATTACTTAATGTAATAAAGGAAATAGATAACTAAATTAATAGTTGCTAAATTTACCAATGCTTAAGAATAACTGGATCCACCAATGTTCATAGAAAATAACTTGAATTAAGTAAGGAGTTTACTGTTACTGAAAGAAGACTTACGCTTTAATTGTATTTATCTTTTCTTGTATTGCACCTTCAATTTTCTCTGCATCTGGATCATTATCTAATTTATGAAATAAATTTGATGTTTCCTGTATTAATTGAGTCGTTTGATGATAAAGGGCTTCCATAGTTATTTTTTGACATATATGTTGTTTATAAAAATATATTTATATAGTTGAAAGGAAACATAAAAATATAGTTAACGCAAATAATATTACAAAAGTTCTCCTCAAAGTTGATTCGAAATGTTTACTCGTAAGTCGTAGGCAATGTCAGTACTCGCTGTCAAGTTGACGTGCCAACTGTAAAGTCACAATTAATTACTCGCATTAGAAAAGTGATTTTTATTGTAAGTAATTTATTATTATTCGAACTTATACATTTTAAAAAAATTTATAAATATTAAATAAAAAATAACGCCATATCCTTACAAAACATTTGCAATATTTGTGAAACGTGGCTCAAGGATTTACATTTTATATTTAGTCTACATTGTGGCGTCATTCGTTAGTGACGTAGAAAGGTATTAACTCCGGTCTCCGACTACGAGTGACAGTTATTCAACTTTCAGTTATCAAATTCAGTACCTATTGACTAATATTGAGTCACTCTCATTTCCCTTTGTGAAATAAATATTTTCAATTCTCGGAAAATATAGTTAAATCTGATCAAATGTGCATGAATTTCAAGTGAAACAGTTAAGTGCAGTACCATAACAATGGGTGATTCGTGTCAAGCATGTCTTACAAGAGTTCCTCACGCTACCCTTATAGCTACAATAATGTGCTGTTTGGGCGTGGGAGTCTTCTGTGGTACTATGTATCGAGGATCTTCTTTGTCAATTTTGATGTTTGACGAAGTTTTCCACTTTCGATTGATGTGGATAGATGCTCTACAAATGATTTTTATTGTGGGCAGCGCTTGTATGGCGGCTCTGGGTTTTATGTTATTATGTCTCGGATGCCTCACAACTGGTGCTACGCGACAGAAAGTATACCGCGCCTGGAGAGCAAGAGTCGGCGGTCGTATATCTTGTGCAGTCTTCATGATTATAACTTACATTCTAACTTTTATCTGGCTAATACTACTGGGTTTCTTGGTCATAACAACTTTCTTATTCACAATATTCTGGGCACTGTGTTCTAAGCCGAAAAACATTGAACTATCCACCTGTATTGATTTCACACAGTTTGATTTCATGTTTCCTTCATCTGTTCGCCAAGAGGATATGAAAATATGTGAAGCACATAAAATAAAGCTGTTCTGTAAAGATTATGTTGAAAAAGCTGAATTTATGTTCATCCTAGCCATGGTGTCCTGTCTGCTTGTTATACTGAGTTTAGTACATTATTTAATGTGTCTATCAGCCAACTATGCCCACATCCGAGACCATGAGAAGTTCCAGGAGCTTCAAGAGCTGCAATACCTCACCAACCCAGATCTACATGCCTCTAAAGACAGGTTCTAGTATATGGCCCGCGCACCATTGTTGCGCTCCCTCGAAGCCACAACTAAAATGTGACAAACAAAAACAATAATTACACATTAATGGCATACTGTGTTCAAAGATTGATGTCACTGAAAGACTGATTGTGGATGATTCTTATTAGTTTAGAACTGAAGTAGACATATCTATTTATAGATCACTCATGTATGAAATATTTTTACATTCCTTAATATAAGTTTTCTATACATTTTATTGTTAAACAATATTAATTTGACTATAATATTGACATTTATTTATTGTGTTGTCCTCATGCTTGGCATGATTATATGTATATTTGTGTTTCTTTGTTCATTATAAATTAGAACAATAGCCTAGTGAGCCTAATTTTTATCTTGTATCTTCCATTTACAGTGATTAAAGACTAGATTGTTTGAAGTTGTAAAATGTTTGCCGAATTGTGGGTTAATGTAATAGATATTTAGTTACGGTCATTGTCTGAAGTAGGAATTGAGGTCTGTTACAAAATATGCCGTTGTATGGAGTAGCTTTTAAATACTTGTATTTTATAATCATCCACAAAGTGATTAATTGTTCAATGTTTAGTACAATAATTATAGATTAAGATGGCACAATTTGTATTTTGTAGATGTAAGTTTTATAAGAACATTGTATAATTGTTTGTTCTTATTAATATGATCTTTGTGCATTTTCCTCCGGCCTTAGCTTTAGGCTTTGGATGATTTTTATCAGAAGTTTTCATAAATGCTAGTAAATATGGAAAATGTGATTTCACAATCAATTATAGGGTGGTGACGAACTATTTTACAAAATATTCAGTTATCCCTACTAATATTATAAATGCGAAATTAACTGTCTGTTTGTCTATCTGTTACGCTTTCACGAATAAACCACTGAACTGATTTTAAAGAAATTTGGTACAGAGATTGAGTTATATAAATTTTTTTTTCACTATTTAAGTCTACAAATGTCTTTTTATACTTTTAATTTATGAAGATATTTATTTGAATGTATATGATACGCAGTGAAATATTTGTCCAAGTTGTTACTTATCAGTGATACCAGAATATCAAATTTGATTACTCGGTATAGTAAAATAGTCCCACCCGTAATATTGTCTTAAAGAAATTGTATAGTAACTTTTTTGCTACTTTTATAAAACTCACCTAGCTTTGAGTCATGTGCAGCCATTTAAAAATCCCACCAAAATTTATTAACATTTTCAAAATTAGTGCTCAATAAATTTTTGTATGTATAAGCAAAAACCTTTACTATCTTATTGCATACTTGGTGCAGTTTTTTATATTTATCTTATAAAACAATAAGGTTAAGGTTTATATATAAGGATTTATAACAGTGAAAGAACTGGCACAATAGCATAGCTAAAGAGTCAAGATGTGTGTTTAGTTTTCAATATTAAAAACAAAAAAACAAACAGTATGTATTTAAATTTAGAAATAATTTTTTAACTCGGTGTTATTACCTGCTAGTATTTTTGTAGCTATTTTAAAGTTTTATAAGAATTAAACACCTGTTTTATAATGTTGTCTATATTTAATAAAATTATTAAGATAAAGATGCATGTCACTTGATTTTCCTACTTCAAATACAATGGAAAAATTTAATTGGAAATGTGTCATGGAATATTTAAATTGAATAATTGAAGGGGCCCTAGGTTTGAGTTGATTGTTGAAAATATAGGTCGAGCTCTCGTTTTTAAACCCTTGTCAACTGGCAAGGGTCAATTTATACTGGGACCTGTTTAATTGCAACTCTTGACCAAGTTGGCCTCATTATGTTCACAATTACTCTATACCTTAATGAAGAGCGTATTGCAGTCTGTATATAAAAAGTAATCTAATATTTTTTAAATATAGGTAGACGTCAATAACAGGTACATACTGAGATAATTGACAAATTTCAGTCTTCTAGAAGTAACTTAAATATTATGTATACGTAATATTAGTAATTAAATTGCGTTCGTAACATATCTGGTTTTGATGATTTTCAAGTTAGGTATACCTAAACAATAATATAAAATGAGTATGGACCTACCAGTTTACGTCAGAGCTATTACAAAAGTTGTGAATCTGCTTTATTTTTAGTCTTTGCAAATACAAACATGGAGATCTGTAGGTATACGCTATAATGCTTTAAATGACTTCAATCAATACGACTTTCATGTAACTTAAGCATTTATTTTTTCAAGATTGTTCATTAGATATGAAAATAACCTCTTCTTAGTAATTCCTATTCATTCTTGTTACTCCAACTTGTTAATTACGGCACTAGCTGCTTGTTGAAGGAGATTGTTTTATTCCTCTATATAAGGTTAGAAACTTTCGTAACTACTTTTAAAGATAGATTTGTTTATATACAACCTCACTTCTAGCTTCTTTATTTCTATTCCTATGTAACCGTAAACCATTAGGCTTTTTATTTTTCTATATTCTTCACTAGGTACATGTATTTTTTCTATTAATTCTGTATTTTTTATCTGTTAATTCAAATGAATAATTTAATAATATAACATTATACGTATTGTATGAACATAAATTACGCGCAAAAACTTAATATAAATTTTCTAACATGTTAATGTCCTAACTCACGAGAGATTATTCATGTAGAGCTTGAATTAGCTACTAGAATTTTCTACGCCAAAAGCACTTTTTAATTATACGCTCTTCCTTTCACATAGATTAAAAAAACTATTATTATTATGTAGATATGCATACTTTGTATACATATTTTAAAGTTTTAATAATTTCGTTCTCATTCCTGTTCATAGTAGTTTTGAATTGTCAACGAACCGGTAAATTTGAATGTTGCGAATACGAAGTTGTATAACTAGATCAAAACGCGTTGAACAAATTGTCAATTGTGGTATTTAAAATTTGGAAGACTACTTTAAAATTTAACCTGAATAAAATAATTCCTTGATGATAAATAAATTATGTTTTAAAAATTGTTCAGAAAATCAAATATGTATAAAATACCGTATTTTGAAGATTAGTTTATATTAATATTTTAGAGAAAATGTATATGGGATACATTGCCTACATACTGCATGTTCGTCTGAGTGTAAACAAGGTGAGAGCATCGTGGGAACAAAGAAACCTTATCCATGAAAGCCTTATAGAAGAACTTAAAACCGCTCTAAATACATCTTAATTTAAAGACTGCGCTTGATTATTTAAGTTTTATTTCTTTGTAACAGTTATTAGACGTCATAAAATTATTTTTTAATTTATAATAAGACTGTTAAAAATGACAAATCGAATATTTCATCCTAGAACAATAAGGAATGTTAAAATAAAAATTTAGATAAATTTATCTTGGCTAATCATTTGTTTTTATGTTGAACTGAAAACAATATTTTTTTTCTAAATCTTTAAGTAGTAGCTGTTTAAAAACTTCCTAAACAGAGTTGGATTCTATCTGTAACCTATATATTATTAAAGACGTTTTGTGTTTATATAGTTTAGTATTTGTAATTGTGCGCTTTCTTATTATTATTTTTTTTATTATACTTGAACCTATTTTGTCTCGTTACTTATTCCTTGTTCTACTAGGACAATTAACTGCAATATTAAATATTATTAGGTATTGGACGTAAACAACAGCCTTGTATTGTAACTTAATGTTTTGGAAAAGCCTTCTTTATTTATTGCAGAAAACTTTGGTTTGAGTAATTCGACGCGATCATATCACGAACTAAGGGTGGGAAGTTATACCTACCATATATATCCAACAAACTGTAATTTGCTTCTCGCGTTTCCTAGCAACTCTTAAACTCTGCCAAAGCAAATTATTGTGTTCTAGACATCCAGACATCTAAAAAGGGTTTTTACCCGGGATCTGGATGGGCCTAACATACCTGTTGGTGAGCATGAATCATATCATCCTCGTTTGTAGAACTGAGAAAAAGATTCAGACGGTTTTCTTTTTATCTGAATACTTATTTCCTTTGCGTTGGGGGAATGCCGTGGAAATCGATAAGAATTTCAAGTTTTTGTCCGTCAGGATCCCTGTACAGTCTGACGTGTGTAACGGGCACTTCATACATGCTCTTAAAATGGTCGTAAATTTGTTCAAGAGAAACTTTTTAAGATCATCCGAATAATCGAAAAGGTTTTTCTCAAAATCACTTTTTAAGATAGATTTTTACTAACGACTAAGGAAAGTTAACATCTAGGTACCATTTTTATTTATTTTTTTCTTATGATGTATTTTTTTTAATTCCACCAGAGTCATTGTATTTTGTTATATCAAGCCTTGTTTAACCGTTTTGTTATATGAAGGTTAAATCTTAGTACTTAATTTATGTGACATAACTGTCTTTATGACACTGTAATGTTTAATGCTAAACACCTTTATTTATACGTGTGAATGAAATATGTCGTGGAAATAGATAAATTATCGGGTAGGTATTGAAAGTACTTTTAGAGTAACAAAATATTAACCGAATTAACAGTTTGCCTTTTCAGGAACAAGATAAGTAAAAAGTAAGTGAAAGTATGTTACGAAAATAGACATATATCTAAAAATTTCTCAATACATATGACAAAACAGTAGGACTTATGTGAATTATTATTAATCGTTTAGTTCAGTATCAACAATTTTAATAGCTAACATTGTTGCATAAATACCTATGTGTGATCTCATTACTATTTTATGGACGTATAAAATATTACTGTTTACAAGTATATATTAGTAACCATAAGTATGTAGAAGATGTATAGTTTACCTTCATATAAAACAATATACAGGGTGACTGGTGAATTACTATCGATACTTGAGGACGTGATATTTGACGATCATATATGACAAAATAAAAATTAATATAACATAAATATTAACAAACTTCTAAGTAAAGTTAACCAAAAGTTATGTAATTATTTATGCATCGTGTGCACACCCTACAGATTAGGTATACACACACTCACACATACGCGTGCGGCGGCGTGGTGTTGTATCAGCACGCCGCCGCACGCGTCCACACTTGGAACACTTGGAACGTGTCAACACTTTATTTATTAATACGGAAATTTTGTCAAAAATTAAGTGCCTATTTTTTTTACATAATTCGAATGAGAATCATGTACCGAGTATTCTCCTTAAATATTGATAGTAATTCACCAGTCACCCTGTATATTATAACTAACTGTTAATGGTCATGCATGATAAATATTGGTCTATTTGTACTATAAATAAATACTACAAGTGATTAACTTGAATTAATATCTACTAGATGTAGTGTTAGTTCATTTCCTTATAAGATAATATTAATCGTAGTCCCTTTTTTCTTCTTCTTTCTATTCATATATATTTTCCATAAAATGTACCTACTGACCAAGTGAGATTATTAATGCATTAACAACGAATTCGCTCAACACTGGTTTGGTTTCGTTATAATATAGCTCCTTAAAAAAAAGTAATGCAAAGTATTTTTTTTATCTCAATTGACATAATATTTAACTTACAAGAGTCTATAAAACATTTGTTTGAAATACAGCAGAAATATGTATGTACATTTAAATAGGTACTTATACATGAAGTTCAGAATATGAAAGTAAAGGAAGCAAGCAAATGCTTTAAAGGATTAAACAACAAACATTTGATGTTTAACTAAACTAATCGTAAGAAATTTTTAATTACGAAACAGAAGTTCCAAAACTTTATTTCTCTACTGTTTTATTATTCAGTACCTAACCACAGTAACTGATATTTATTTAATATAGTGCAAATAAATATTATATTAAAAAAAATATATATATTCTTTTAGATCTTCTACTTATATGTCATACATTAGAAATACTTTTTTAAACCCATATAACTATAAGATAAGGACAGGACTGTTATCTGCTCAGCCGAGTTTGCATGGGATAAATTGATAAATTCAACACAATTAAGGGTAATGACATCCTTTGCCTGATTTTGAATTAGTACAAACTAACATAGATAATAAATATTCTGGGTGACCGTAAACAAAAATCACAATCAATGTGTATAAGGTATAGATATGAAAATTGTTTAAACAATCAGAGTATACACGTTCCTTGGAATTCATATGAAGATTGTTTTTGATTTTATTTATTCTTTTTTTAAACATAATCTGGAATGAAACAAAAAGTTATATTTTTTGCATTACTTACATACCGTTAAGTGACTATAAAATTGTTTCCTCATTGATTCGAGTCGCTTAGCATTTTTTTTGTTTCTCTCAACACTTTAATTGAATCCTTTTCCAAAGAATCGATTTAAAGTATAAAAAATCTAGCTTATGTTATTATCTAAATTAATACATATATTATTCACATTATACTTATGGACGATTTCATGGGATGTTTAATCCATTTTAATGCGAGTAGCTTTAAGTTTTTTGTCAAACCCATCCACATTTTTCCGGATACAACCTTGATATGTGCTGTTTAGCAAATATATTATCAGTGTTCTACAATTTATTGTTATTTCACTTATTAAAATTATTAATGTGCTCATAAAACCTTGGTTAAAATTTCCTGTTTCTTAATATTTACGACATATTAAGTTTTAAACGAAGTGACAGTAATCAGTTCAGATTTCAAAGTTCAAGATCATATGAATTCCGGCTTGGACAACGAACTTCAGTACCTTTAGTATTCCCCGCCTGAAGAGATTATGATGTCCAAAGAAAATAATCGAATCTACATCCACATAAAATACTTTTTTTTGAAGAGTCACACTGCACTTTTAGATGTGTATTATATTTTACAGTACTAATGTGAATTGGATTTGACATTGGACCTCTTTGAGCCGAACCTTTAAGAAGCAAATTAAAAAGACATTTAGTTTTTTTTCTATAACTATATCTATATAAAAAGCATCTATGTTCTGGCTAATGGTACCGTGCGTCAATGGAGATCCAAAGACGTTATAATGTATGAATATCAAAATGTTGTTTTACCAGTTCATCGGCTTGGGTACATTTAAAAATATTTCTTGCGAAACAAACTCAGGAAGATGCGCAAGGGTCAATGTGTTTAATCTAGAAGGACTGGTAAAACTGCTTTTTTTATTAATGTTATTGGTCTCTGATAAATGAGCCAATCTGAAATAAAATAAAAAAAAATATCATACATTTACTACAACAACCAATATAATTATTTGTATTTTTGTAACATTTACCTATTTTTTCTTATCCTAACTGGCCAAATTAATTCACTGTCAAGGTTTTTATATCTTACTTTACATAATAAAACTAGTTTATCTCATGAAGATAACGTTGAATGGTATCAAAAAAATACGTTCGGCCAAATAACAGCGTGATAATTTACTAATTCAAATCATTTTTCAAGAATTTACTTACTTTATTAAATATATTTTAGTATGTTAATAAACGAAATATAATGTAAATATTTAAGAGGTATATTATGAACTTACGAATTTCTTGGGAATCAAAAAGAAAGAATATTAAAAATAAAGTTTTGGTTTCATTCGTCTACAGACTAAATAAAGGGATCACTATTAATAAAGCAATATTTACTGAAACAATGTCATTAATAATTATGAATTAAGGTAGAAATGAAATTATTTATATAGAATATATTAAGTGACGTTAGAATTATAAATTATTCATGCTATTATGTTGCCGTCTTTTTAAAGTCCATATTTAATTTATGTACAGTGGGTGTAAGTTGTGTGACGTTCGGATTGTTCTGTGTTAGTTTTTAAACATTAATATGTTATATTTATACGTATCTCAACGGAACAAGAAAAAGTAAGATGTAAACAACAGCAAGTTGGAAATCCCTTGTACGTCCGTCAAGTGCTGACTAACTCAGTCATTTGTGTACCAGCGCCACGATCGTGTCCACAACAGAGGTATGTGCGCTCCATTTATTTACGATATTTAAACGATTTATAATGATTTTTTGATATTTTGTTAATTAAACTGTTATTATTACACAATTCTGTGGTCATTAGTATATATTTCCGTTAATGGTTACCGATTAAAACGAAATAACAGATCTACTTTTAGTGATTTGATCCGCGTCACGCTTTACAGTTTTTGACAGACATAAAAATAATAAACAAAAATAATTTTATTTGAATTAATAAAAAATTAAAATGGTTTTATAAGATTCAAAATTTAAATCAAATATAATCCAATTTTGATAAATATGTATCAAGTGATTTTCTAAAACAATGTCGTTTAAAACAAAAGTCCATCTAGAAAAAAACCTAAATATTCTTGATCGTGTTGATAGTGAACAAAACGAGGAAGTAGATGTCATCCATTTATCGACGGCCTTACAAACCTTATCAGATAGTTACGAAACTTTATCTAGTGAAGATATTCACATTGGCAGAGTGCACCATGCTCAAGTTCACCAAAATGTTTATCAATACGAAAAAAGTGCAATTGTCATTGTCAGTAGTGCATTTGACAGCGGTACAGATGGCGTAGATTTAGAACAGGTTGAGTGAGTATGTAACTTCAAGGAATCGGTTTCTTTGTTATTTATTCTAGCAATTATTAAACAGTATTAAACACCCACTTAATTGACGTAGTTAAGATTTAAGTTAATATCATATAATGCGCAAGCAGTTGTAATATCAGCAAAGGTCAAACGTAATTTACAAGACGAGAGCTGAAAATGAAATATTAATTGTTATTAAAATCTACATTGTTTATGGTATTATTACGAATTATATGTACATATAATTCTTTATTCTGTAACTTTTTTTATTGATACGTCATAAGGCGTATTGTTATTATTCTTATTATTTATTACGTTATTTTTGCTTCATTAACGTAAGCATTACAAAAACAATAATTATGAATGCATAGGTAGAAAAAAGCTTAATATATGACAACGCGCCATATAAAAGCTTAACGTTTCGGTTACTACGGTAGACGTCATTATTTAAAAAATATATGTACATATATATTTGACAGTAGGTACCTACATACTTCAAGCCTATTTACAGTTATTACAAATATATTCTAGTAAACAAATAACCCAAATTTATTGATGGATGGATTTACCGTTCGATAGCAAATAATACTGCATGATTCAACCATCTCCTATAATAAATTGAATAACAATACAAAGAGGAAACTTGATGAGTACCTACAATGATTTCTATAGAAAAATATTGTAACACTTACAACTAGATGTTATTACAACTATCTGTTACATCTTTGTTACATTACACGGTCATCTCAAACATAATATTTTTAGAAATTTAAATGGTTTCGTTATAATTTCGTATATAAATCAAAATATAAAAATATCGCCAAAATACATGCAGGTATCGATTCAGGAAAAATGAAATGAAAATATGATTATTATACTAAAATTATATATAGTCGCATGTTAATGCTATTTATGTATAAAGGATATAAATGGAAAAAAGTAGTATGAGATACGGAAACAATTTTATACAATAATTTAACAACTTTTTATTAACTGGTTCTGGGTAGTTTCATAATTATTATAAATTTTATCAAAAATAATGTCAAATGTTGTTCATTACTTTGAAAACGAAACATTAAAAAATTAACTTTTTGTTTACTTTTCTATAAACTTATTTTTTTTTATTTAGATAAAAAAAGATATAAAAACAGTCCGTTACGAAAATAAACAAAAAAAAATACATTTTGAAAAGTAGTTCACTAATATTTTGTGCTTGCATTAACGACTGTTTTCATGAGATAAATTTTTAAATAGTTTTCTAAGAAACAATTCTTATATTTCACATTTAATGTTGGTTATCCAGATTTTTAAATAAAACTGTATTTTTGGATTTTGTTCCTTTTATTCCGTTTCTATAACTGCAGTAATGATAACATGAACACGAGATAAAGAATGATCAAAGTGATATATTTGATACAATTTTATCAAACGTTTTACTGGCTTAAGATTTTTAAAATCAATTGACGTACTTTTTTTGAATTTAGTGAATGAATCATGTTAGTTGTTATAAAACGTTTTCTACTGAGTTTTTTAAAGTTATTAGTAATAGATTTTTTTTCGTTTGCCTCCAAAAAGGGGATTGGATCCACAAAGGATTGGAACAGCCTGCGTCTGTTCTTTTCCACTTATAATTCGGACATCTTTAAAGGATGAAGGAATAGGTATGCTTTTACTGAGAAAGTACACTAACCATCAAGTGGTATTATAGCCAAGTACATTTTGTTCTAAATGAAAAATATATATGACGCTAAACTTCTTATAACGAGATAGATAAAATATGTACGAGTATAATAAAGTTACATTGTCAAATTGCAATGCAAACACTGCATTTTTAGCTAAATTTTATTACTATCAAGAAGTTAAGAAAAATTGATAGTTATATTTCATACTCTGATAGGGTATAGTTCTGATAAAAACTTTTTATCAATTTTACGTGTGAGCTTATGATGTACCTACTATAATTTAAATGTATTTTCATGATTACAAGATAAAATTAATTTATTTCTAGCAAGTCATTGTTATTTTTCTAACTCAGTTGCAATGAAGTATTCATAAACCATTGATTTTTATGGTTTTGATAGGAAACGTTATGGTTATAGTAAAATTATTCTTAATTTTATCATCAGTTCCAAACGAAGTAATTATTGTAGTTTTCCACTTTGATATTGCGACTCTAGTCGTTTGTAAGATCTTAATCGACTTATATTTTTTAATAATAATTAATTAGAATGAAATTTGAAAATAAATTATTATATATACAGGTGGATACATTTTCATGTCACAAAATTACGAGTTTTCAAATTTCTTAAATATTACTCTCACATACCCATTCCTTTAAGCTATCTTGCATGTATAAAGGAGATGTTATTTTGCATATTTTATTACGTGTATTATATCAGTATAAAGGCATTAAGTCTGCTATTCATTTGAGTTTTATGAGATTATATATTCTTGAATAGATTCAACATTATGCCCTTAAAGTGTTAGACATAACTATTGTAAATGACAAGTACCTACAGACACGTAAGCTTAAACGTACAAGGCTTCGGGTCGTAAGTTCAAATTCGTAATTATATTTTTAGTAATGTTTTGTCTATTATTACCGGTGTCTTCTATAAACATATAAAATTTAAATATATGCAACCATGACCAATTTAGAATTTTATTGTTTATTTTGTCCAATATTTTAAGAAATTTGAAATTAAAATTTAATTCATATTAGATTTTCGTGTTATTAAAATTTAAACTAATTAAGACACGACGATTAAACTCCCGTATTAACTGTTGATTATAGTCTAACGGTAACAAATAACAGAAACTTACGTCAGACAAGTAAGAATTTTATTCGGAAATTACGTATATAAAACTCCACTTAAAGAAGATGGATTTTGAAAAAATCTAGAGCAGAATTTGTTTATTAGGTTTTCATTCAGAACTCAATTTCTTTAGGTCACTAAATACTCTGTTACAAGCCTAACTGCTTCGTTTTCGGTCCAATACTATATTTTGACAAGTAAAGGTATTATTTGACTAATATATAAATACAGCTAGCTATTTTATTAATATGTATCATGCACTGCACATGTTACAGAACCTTTTTACTTAAAAACTCTGCGGCCCACTCTCTCTTCCAACTATCGTAAATAATACTTTTGAATTAAAATTGTCTTCAACTCGTTTATTCTAACGTTTTGTAATACTAGAAAAAAAATTGTAAATCTTATATCTACTATTAATCCTTTTTGCTTATAAGGTAATATACGGAACATTTATATTATCTTTAAGGTTTGTAACTTTTTGGTGATCATCAGTCCATTTTTGTAAAATTCAAGGTATTGGAAGACTAATATTTTAGACGGTTATTGTATTTGATCAAGTTTAGCATAGAGCATCTATTATAGCGTCTATTTGAAACATTGTGATTAACCAGCTTCCTTGTTCAACCCGATATAAATATCCTTATCGACGATTAGGTTTTAGGACACATGCTTGAATACGTCTGTCACACATCTAAAGACTACTTCAGGTGAAATTTTTTCTTCATATGATCGATATGTTGCCAACAAGTTACATTGATAGGCTTAGGCTATGCTATTACTATATGTTAAAATCTTATAGTATGTATACTTAGTTTACATATAATACTATTTAATCCCTATGGAACAATGATCAAAGAAATAAGATAAGATTCAAGATCCAGAGACGGGAATTTGCAATTTATTGTAGCTAAAAATAGAAGAAGGGTTGTCATATTGAAATTGGTTTGTTCCGAGGTTTTTTCAAAGACGATCAATAACAGGATTTCAAAGGTCAAGTATACTAGTTTCTGCTGTAAAATATCAATATCATTGTGTCCACAATTCACCCCCTTTTTACAGATCACTGTCGTGACTATAACTAGTTGCTATTAGATCAGAAGTTTGCTCGTCTTCTTCTGTTTGACATAAAAAAAAATATTTTAATGACCCTAAGTGAAAAAATTTTATAGTTTTCTTTGGAAATTATAGTTCTTATTTACTTTTAATTCATTTATGAAACATGAATACCTAACCCAGATGTTCAATTTCTCACATACAAAAATAAATAAAACCAAGTTACTTCACGTAAGAGATAACTCCAAATAGAAAAAATATTGAGAAGTTTTTCTTATTCCGACTAAAGAATTATGTAAACAAAATAATTAATCACGCTATGATAAATTGAACAAAAAGTTAGTTATTGTCTTACAGGTCTAATGTTGATGAAAATAAGGTGTTAAATCAAACAAAAATATTGTTTTATTGTCTAGGAACAAAAAATTAAAACATTTCTGACGTAGTACGAAAGGTCAATGTGATCGCAGAACATTAGTAAGAAGTATCGTACGAAAAAAAATCTTCAAATATATTTAGAAGCAGTTCAAACCAGTTAGATGTAAGGATTCAAACAGTGAACAGTTTGTTAAGTGTTATAATATTATGATAAGCAATTGAAACCATGTGAGTAAATTACTTAATATAATATTTACTTACTCGTTTATTCATAAAAGCTACCACGTGCTTTTAAATCAACAATGTTAAATTCGATGAAGATAAACAAACCAATTTACAGTAACTTATTTTATATAACTTTTTTCTTCTCAAAATCCTGAAATTTTCAATTTACTTTTCAATTTCAATCAATAATTACCGGTTATTATTTTCACGATACCAACTCTGTGTTTCACAACAAAAATATTCCGTTCATATTTTGAAATCATTTAAACTAGATAAATCTATTAATCATTATATATGGAAAATTACCAACGTGCGTTGTCGTAATGCGTGAACGAAGACAAGGAGATTCTACCGCAAAGGTCGCTTTAGAAAGATATTTTTTTACGTATAAACATATTAATATGGGGAATTCTTTTGTGGTTATCATCAAAACCAAACCAAAGTTTCCATCAGAGCCTTCTATGTCGGTGCGGCCTCGTATTTTTTTCTACTAATCGCTTATCAAATCGAAGGTAACTTAATGAACAAAACAGAAAAACCAGCGAACATGACCTTATAGTGACTAAGTCTAAAAGTGGTAATATAAACAAGTAATGCAAGTGTTGCAAAATGATTAAAAAATATTCAAATCGTTTTTTAATTCAGTATATTAGATTTATTTTTTATTTATTTAATATGATATACAAAACAATACGGTATTAAAAAGTTGAAAGAAGATCACGCTACCTGTAAACCACAAACCACGATTAGAACCTTCTCAATCTCAGCGTTCTTGAGAATTTTAGATGCTCAAATAATAAAAGTTTTATTTGAAATAATATAATATATTTTACATTATATTCTTCTTCTTCTACCTGGTAATTTCCCAGCTTTAACCAGGGTCTACCTTACATGTTATGTATAGTTTTGGCTAATTGTTTTTACGACCAGCCGCCTGCCTGACATCAACCCTCTTTGGGAATGCATTAATAAGTGATATCTTAATACTCTTAGAAAGTACATGACTCGGAAAAATCACATTGGTTCTTGCCAGGGCCAGGGTCGAATCCGGGCCCTCGTGCGTGAGAGGCGGGCCTTTTTACCACTAGGCTACCACTGACTTAATTTTTACTCTATATTACGTATTACTTTTTTAACTAAATAATATCTAAAAAGTCGGTTTCAAATTGTGCCAATCATTGAAAACCGGACACCATCTCCTACGTCTTTCAAGACGTAAAACACAAGTTCTAATTGCTTATTCATATAAGGCTATACAAAAAATATAACAACCTGCTTTAACTTACCTGTGTACCTTGATAAGTTCAACTGGTATTTCTGAATAATTCATGAATATAAGCTTAAAATAAATATAATAAACATAAAACGTAATAAAATTTGTGATTTTACGTTTAGGTTTTTTAAAAAAACACAGCAATTGAAGATATAATTTTGAATGAAAATGCATTCAAATCCAATAAAAACATCGATTAATATTTTGTCTTTAATTGTATTCAATTTAAGAAATCTTTAATTAAATTTTTACTGTTCCATCCAAAACGGGTTTTCGCGAATGGAAAAATTTCCGACTCGCAAAATTTTAATTATGTTAAAATTGTTAGAAAATTTAAATTTTATATAATTTAAACAATCATTATGTATGTATCATCATTTAGGGAATAACTATAAAAAATTTAAATGACAGGTTTAGTAATGTTTAAATTAGTTGGTTGGCCAATCATATTTAAAAGTTAAAAAGCGACAACCTACAAACGAAGGTTATAATTAAGGGACAATATCCGCGAACTTAGCGGTCATGTAGACAACACTACTGATTGTCAAACCTTGACGACAATCGAGTCACACTTTCCTAAAGAAATAAAGAAATATATTTAATATAGATAATAAAGATGATCAAAAAATTTCTATGTTGTTTAAAACCCAACCATATGAACAAAATATTAACCATTTTATATTTTAGGAATTTGATTAAACTATATTTAACTGAAACAGTATCATATTTTTTATTAATTTAAATCCTAAATATGCTGCTATAACAATAGAATTATTATATCCATAATTTACACACAATTTTAGTAAATAGTTGACAGAACAATATATTTTTGACATTATTTTGTATTATTATATACTTTTTTGGTAGATGTGACTTCTGTATTGTCACTTGAATAATAAGCGATGTCGGAAAATCCATATGCAATTAACGTGACCTCACGTTTCCTTCGAATCCTTTCTCTTGTACGTGATTTCTGAACATTGGCACTATTTCAAATTATTTTGACTTTATTTTTATTTACATCTAATACATGAAGATATCAATTCCTTATCCATTTTATAAAGTACTGATAAAATAATCAAAAAATTATCGTGTATGATCACGAAAACAAGCACACTATCACAAAATCATATCTTATTCGCATGAGTAATACTATAAGTTATATAAAATTATAATTAAAATATAGCATATTAATTTTATTATCTGTGACAGAACTATATATTTTATAATCTGAGCTAGGTCTCTTCCTATTCCGGACGGCCTGGTAATGGACCCGATGGCGCCCACCGCGCTCGCCGTCCCCGATCAGCTGATGGGACGCATCGGCAGTGGGCTGAGCATACTGAGAGATCACGGAAAGAAAGTTCAAAAGGTATTTATTACTTAATATACGTCGAAACACCCGAATTAATTCATTTGAGTCCAGTCTTATTTCACCTAAATAATGAGGTCTAAGACTTCGACGAGTATTCATTTAAATGAAACTAATATTATTCGAATTACTTCACGTATTTTATTTCTTGAAAAACTACATACTCCCGACGTTTCGGTTACTTTTCAGCAACTTGATTACGGGCAGACCAGATGTTAAAAATACAATCATTTAAAATAATAAAATATGCGTAGTAATCCGAATAATATTAGTTTCATTCACACAAATGTTTTTTTCAACAAAGGGAATAGATTTTTAATAATTAAGAAAATATTATTTTTTATTCTCTATTTGAAATATCATGCCGCCACTTTATTCATTTATTTTTATTTTGGTGTTTTTAAATTATGAAGTAAAATGTAGCTTATGAAATACTTTTGCAATATTGAGCTTATATTTTGAGTTACCAAGCAAAATTATAAATAAAAGTTCAAAAAATATATTTCATTGCTGTTTTTTAATAAGGACGCCATATTTGTTTTTATTTGATATGTTTCTTTGTGTAAGGGACACAAGACGATTATAATTTTATAATATCTTTAGATTATTGAACGTAAGCAATGTTGTAATTGCTGCAATATTGCAATTATGTTAGTTTTTATTGTGGGTTTCAACATAATTATGAGTATTATACCGATTGAACTTCAACCATGAGTCCGCGTCATCGAACTAAACAAAAAAGTTTCAAATTTTTCATTCACAGTACATTGATACTATCATGAGGGAGGACTTATTAATATTATGATAATATATTTGTTTGAGAATATAAAGCTTATGAGTATTTTTGTATAAATTTCTGCTTTGTATGACGTCATATTATTTTTATGTTATAATTTTTTATTTATGCTATGTCATAACTCGCACTAGAATCGTGGAATATTTTGCCAAACGTTTTTATTTGTTGGGCGAAATAGGTATAATCTTGGGTACTGCGTTGAGGAAACAAAAAACAAAAGTTTGTCAAATGGAATAAATGAGATTATTATTATAGAAACAAGACATATATTTTTACAAAAAAATATTTTTTTATATCGAAGGTTTCTTACTTTAAAATAAAAGAGACACCTTTATCAAATTATTTTCTTGTCCTGTCAGTTAGGGCGTATCAATGTGAACGTCAATTAACTTTATTAAAAACGTTAACATGACAAAAAAAAATATTAAATTTATTGTTTTAGAATTAATAAAGATTTGGTTAGCTATACTGTAACTTTATATTTTTAAAACTAAAAATAAGACATAAACTAAGAATTATTTAAATGAAAGGAAATCGTAATAAATATGAAAAAATATTATTGTGATATTTTTTTTTATTAATATAATTGATCCTTGATTTAAAAATATACATTGTTAAAAAAATACCCTTTTTTTCATCTTTAAGGTGAAAAATACCTTAATTAATTACGTTACCAACAATACCTGAATTTATAATACTACAATTAGCAACCAAACGATAAAAAAAAATAATAATATGTATTTCCAAAAACTAATATAAATACAAATAAATATTTCATGGATTTGTGAAATGATTTATTTCTATAAAATAGAAAATTAAAAATTACAGATAAACAATTAAAAACATTTTTAAATCAAGGATATTTTCCAGTTTATGTACAAGGAAATTGCTACCAACGGACTCGGAATGTGGTTTTATTGAGCTTATAAAAAACTTTATACCGATCCTTAACCGACTTTAAAAATAGATGTGTAATGATATCACAATTATTATTGTTAAAATACTAATAGAGGTTATACTGGAATTAGTATTTATTTACATATTTTTTTGCCAGGGTTTGGAACTTCGGAGAAATCTTTAATATTTCTAAAAAAGAGTTCGTGTATGTTGAAACATGATAACTTAAATTAATTATTCAATTTATTTTATTAAAACTGTTCAATAAGAACAATGTACCATTTTTGTTAAATAGTCAGTATATTTATATGAAATGTCATAATTGAATCTATTTTTACACATGTTGCAAAACGAATGACAAGAACGATGGTTATAATAAAAAATCTACTTTTTATTATTGGCTGTCGGTTCACTCTATAAGAATTATATTTATCTCAAAATGAAAAAAAAAAACAAAATATTGTAAAAATATTGAGAAATCATAAGTTGCATGATAAAAATATAAAGTTACATATGAACAAAAACAACAAAACTACACAACATCGTTTCCTTATAGGGCGAAATTTTAATCTCCATAGCAAATACCATTTTGTGCCAGCAAGACTACTTATATATATTTTAATTACAACGTTTAAAATTTCGTTGCTCAATAAAAAAGGTATGATAATGTCGATGTTAATTTTATCCATTTACAAGAATGAAGCATTCGTAATAACCGTCATTGGGTGTCGTAAAAAATATTGGTCTGCCATAAATATTTCTGTCGCGTGAAATATTTTTTGTATATGGCAATATTATTTCTTATAGAAATAAGCCCGCCTTTGTAAACAACAATTCTGGATATAAAATAACTATGTAATTTTTCTTACTGTGCAATAAAGAGTATATATATATTGGGAATGCACCAAAAGTCAAATTGGACATCGAAAATATGTTGTTTTCAAATGATAGAATGAAGATTTCAGTGCTACTGAGGTTATAGATGAATTTCAATAACTCATTAACGCGTATAAATATTAAATTCAATACATATAATTTGAAAAATTAAACATAATATTTGAATTAAATGAATTTTACTTGTGCTAGATATATAAAACGAAACTCGTATCAAGAAACTAAATTACCAACGGCTACGAGAGACTAGTTGTTTGTCCTTAAAAACATTATACATATATGTATATTTATATTATATATTTAATTAATATATAATATCATACTGGATGATTAAATATGAAGAAACCAATATTTATGTGAATCCCCTAAAACTCGTTTTTTTACGTTTTCATTTAGTTCCTAATTAATTTTAAATTCCTAATATATTATAAGTTTATCTAAAGATATTGTATCTTGAATATGTTTCCGTAATCAGTCCTTATTGAATGAATTAAAAAACCAAGGCCCTTCAGCCTAATAAAAATGTTAATAGCACATTCTTCCCAGGACATATAATTATATAATGAACTGAATGACTTATAAATCGAAAAACAAATATTTGAATTTAAGTAAAAAAATCTTCTATACAATAATTGTTCATTTATGTAAAATGAATTAGATATTTTTTAATAAATATTATGAAAACTATATCGCATTCGTGTACAAAATCATGTCCTTTCCATAAAAGCAATTAAATATGTAATCTCTTTTGTAAAAAAATACTTGGCTGTATAGCATTTACTTCTGCCATTTTCAGATTTAAAAAAAAGCAATTGCTGCAATATTTTTAACATAACCTAAAATGTAATAAATAAAAATTTACAATGTGATACAAATAATATAATTTATAACATGTTTATAGGTCTTAATAAGTAAGACAAATTAAATTTAAAGCCCATCTATATATTAAGTTATATTAGAAAACCAGTTTGTTTTCGTTGTCAATAATATTAACCCGTACACGGACTTATCAAGGCTATCATCTCTGTATAACAGATTCAAATGTACTTTTATATATTAGGTAACATTGTTTTCAAGGTATCATATTAAACTAATGAATATTTATATCGTTGCATCGCTTCAGCGTTTTAAACTGTCTTTACAACAGAAACAAAGTCAGCGCTGTCCGCTTCAAACGTTTACGAGTGAGCTTTTATTATTACAAATTAGAATTACAGTATTGAATTGAATATGTTTTCAATGTTCCTTATATGTGTTCGTGTTTTAATATGATGTAGTATATAATATCTATAATTATGTGTGCGTCGAGTGTGACAATAGTATCGTCCAAATTTCACGAGGAATTTTCTTCGATAGCCACTGTAAGTTCTATGTTTACACAAATAAGAATAATATTACTCTTATTTATCAGTAATATCGGAAATTTTGTCTTCAAACTTTTTTATAATATAATTTTTTAACTCGTGCATTCATAAATGATAGTGCACTTGAATTATATCTAAGATTTTCAGATTAGAACATGGAATATTAATATTATTTGTAAGTTGCAATTTTATATCGTCTGCACGTGATCAACTGCTGTAATCGATAATCAGAAAAATATTAAATAAAGTACATACATACATACGTACGTATTACGTAGTACGTACATACATTCATAGTTATATTGGAACATATAGTTTCATTTTGAATATTAGTGTTATACATTAAAATAAGTATTGTAGGATATTAATTCATGTGTTTATCAAATTAATTTAAGTTTTACCTATATGAGTTTCGTGTTTCGTCAAGTTAAAGTGACAACCTAATTAACTACTACAATGGAACTCCTCGCTCGCTGATAAAATATAAATAATCTGCTCACCAAAATAGAGTATGGATGACACCATAGTTTTAGATGAATATATCTATTTTCTTACATTTATTATTCTTTACCCATTCACCTAATAATTTGTTTTATCAACTGTCTTGAAAACATTAAAAACTAAGCAGAATTAAATTTCAAAGAGCTTTTCCAGAAGTCAGTTGCTTGTATTCTTTCCGTTACCGTCATAATATTGATAATAATTAATTATTAACAATCATACATCGATACATATATAGTTCCATATTTATTAAAATACTTAATATATAGAAATAGTCGTGACAATTAGTCAGATAAATCTAACATTAAAGGACCAAGACGATATATGAAAGAAAATACATAAGTAAAAATCATGTACTAGAATTTTCAATTCAATATTTCACGGGTCATATTTTAGCCACTTATAATAATTTTCTTCTTCTTTAGTTAGTGGAGTCCTTATAGATTTTGCCAATGTCGAGTACCGATATTATACTGAACTATGTAAAGAGGGATTTGTGAGTAAACAACTTATAATAATCACTATTCAAATTTTAAACTGACAAACCA